CAGAGAAAGGCAGTTTTGCATCTTATTTTATCCATCACCATCAAAGGAGGAGGCTGAAGGGGCTGCATGAAGCCCACTGCTGATGGGTTAGGGAGGCAGGAGAAAGCAAAGCAGGGGAATCTCAGGGACTGGATCAAAAGGAAGCCCAATAGACACACACTTCTTTTACGTAGGCGGGTATAGGATAGTTAGCAGTTAACAGTTAACGTGATAATAACAACAATGAGGGGTTTGGGGGTCTCTGCTCAGGTGCAGTGAGGAGTCCAGGAAAAAAAGGAGATTACCCTGATATTTCGGAGGTGTTATCAAAGATGCAAAAAGACAATAGAGAGGTTCAGCTGAGGTCAAGACTGACCTTTGTCAGGGAAGATACTGGCCTAGGACATGACTACCTGCTATTCTTTGCTTTCAGTTAGAAGTCTGCATTTCAGACCACCCTGCGTGTCCCTTTGGCCTCTGTGTTTGTGAGACCGCCACGCAGGCCTCCCTGAGCTTGGCCGTTTGAGTATGTGGCCCCTTTTCCGTCCACAGATAGAAACATTCTACTGCATTTTTTCAGTTTGGCAGCCACTGGCCACATGCGGCTGTTGAGCCCTTGAAATGTGGCCTATGCAACTAGGAAACTGACTTTTTCGTTTCTTTTACCTTTAATGAATCCGAATTGAGAGAGACACGTGTGGCCAGCCGCACCCAGCCGGCAGCCGAGCGGGCTGGGATCTCGGTCCCGGCAGCACAGCCGAATAAGGCCCTTCCCTGGACTGAACCGGTCGGAAGAGGGGCCCAGCGCCACTGTTTTCATCACGTTTCCCATTTGATTCTAAGGCGCAACAAATGTCCAGGACTTCTGGCTGGGGTGTCCTCATTCCAGCCTTCACTTACCTTCCCAAAGCCAAACTCTTTGAAAACTGCCATCCCTGTTACTGATGGGCAATTCTCTCAGTTTAGATTTTCCTTACACAAAATAGTTCATGATTCTAGGGACCTTGGAGAGTGCGGGGGTACACTTTTTGCACTAATATTGTAACTGCTGATTCAAACCTTTCTAATATTTATAGATGAAGAGGGCTCAAAGTTCCTCCGAGCTCATGCTGTCCACCAAGTTAACACATAGAGTACACATATGCACATGTATAAACCTTCATCTAGAAAGTAAAACACTTAGGGTCGCGTGGTCTCCGAGGACCTGGCCCGCCCAGGACGCGGCCGATGGTCAGGAGGTGGCACCAGAATTTAGGAGTCCGCTCAGCTGAGGCAGGACAAGTCTGGAGCCAGCAAGATAACCGTCTGTGTTTTGAATGGTTTTCTTATTCTTCTTGGGGGAGTGGGGTGCCATAAGGGTGCTCAGACTAGAATCATTGGAGGGCAGGTGGGAGCTTAGGGATGGAGGGGAAACAACAGCAGCAAAAATAAGGGGGGGGGGGCTAAAACTTGATTGGTGGCCAGAGACAGAGATGGCAGCTTCCGGACAGTAGGACTGGAGCCGGGACCACAGGCTCCGCTAGTGCTGGGCTCCTGGCAAAGCTTGGCCCTGATGGCGCCCTGACCAGCTCCCTGTAGGGCTCGGCCCCCTCTCAGGTTTATTGGAGTGGGGCCGATGATCCTTTGGGTGGGGGGACAGGCAGGGAGAGACTGTGTCAGGGATGCAAGAACTTGGAGTTGGGGAAAAGACTTCAGACCCCTGGGGATTCCCTGAAAGAAGGAGCAAGCTGCAGAATAAGGACCCCCTTGGCAGTGGGTCTGCTCCGCTGTTCCCCTGCGGCCCAGCAGAGGGCTCCCTGCAGCGCAGTGGAGGGTCAGAGAACTGCAGGCGGACCCAGCTTCAGCACTAGGACTGTCTTACACACCAGACGCCCTGAAGATGAATTTCCTGTCCATGGACCTTGGTATCCCTCTGACCAGATGTCCTTATTGGCTTTCAGATGTCCCTGTGTCCTCGCAGGATGGGGGACCTCACCAGCCTGGTAAATGAAAACCCATAAGGAGAGCTTCAAAGGGGAGAAAGTGTGATGCAATATGAGGAATGGCCACCAGGTGCCACTGTGGCTCCAAACCTATTTCAGTGCAATAGGTTATATGCCATTTGTGATCTCCACTGAGCATTCCCCTCCAAGATCCCATTTGGTCTTCACATCAACTTCGATTCCCTGGAAGGGCCGACAAATCCATTTCACAGATGAAAAAACTGAGGGTGAGCACCCTCTGTGATTCAGTATCTGCTAAGGGCCATTCAAATCTTTATAACATCATTCATGGGCCATACAAATTTATCAACTTAAAAATTAGCCTGCTGTATTTGGTCAGGCTATTGTGGTGAGGTGTGTGATGTCAGCTGGTGTTATTTCTTGGGCCTTATATGGCCCCGGGGCCGGATGTTCCCCACCCCTGGCAGGCTGACCTAAGGCAGCCTGAGGATGGGGAGCCCCTGGGGCACAGAAGGTCTGGACTCCGGAGGCCAGTGGCTGTCCCAGACCACACAGCAACACTGTAGAGCTTGAAACAGCCCTCACTACCCCACCTGGGTTTTTTCTCTCAATATCTACAAATTTTTTCAATTGGAAAAAGTGGGAAAGTAAAAAGAAATAGAGAAAACAAGAATGTACCCTGGCACGTGCTGTTCACGTGTGGGCACTTCTCTGAAGAGCTCAGAATATTTTTTAAAACATATCTTTATTGTTGAATGTATTACAGATGTCCCTCCTTTTCCCCCACTGACCCCTCCTCCCTACTCCCTCTCCCCTCCTGCCTTCCCCACACTGTTGTCTGTGTCCATTGGTTATGCATATATGCTTATAAGTCCTTTGGTTTATTTCTTCTCGTCCCCTCCCCCCTTCCCTTTAAGGTTGTCAGTCTAACCACCAATTTGTACTTAATAGACCTGAGAGCACATCTTTGGAGAGTCAGGGGGCCACCCAAAGTATGGCTGTGGGGGGACAGCACCGGTAGAAACATACTGCTGGAGACAGCCATGTCCAGTGTCCGAGACAGTGCTGTCTGCCCCTGCAGACCCTGGTGCCTCCTCATCTGAGCGCCCCAGGAGGCCGGCCTTCGTGGACTGCAGCAGAGGGCGCTCTTGTCCCGGCTGCTGACTGTGGGCGGTTGGCTGGCAGGGAGCGGTGGCCGTGGGATGTAGTCCCCCAGCTCCCGCTCCAGCAGGCTGCTGTGACTTCACTACAGTCCTCCACTGAAGCCACAACCCGAAGCTGCGCCCTCGGGTTGCACCCTGGAACTCTCCTTCCCTTTGCCCTTCAGATGTCAGGGTGCTCCCGGCTCCTGGTTGTCCTGAGCCCCGGGAGCTGCACCCGTGACCTGGATCCGTTCTCGCAGCCTCCCTGCCGGACTCCTCCGGAGGGGAAAGCAACCTCAGGGAAGGGGGTGCCAGGGGGCCTGGGCATCCTTGTTGAAAGCCCGGGCTGGCAGATATATCCACCAGGGTCTATGTGTCATTAGGTCCAAGTTCGGAGTCTAGGGCCAGTGCTCCAATTCACGGTGCATTGTGGAGAACACAGCTAACACTTGGAGCCACTCGGGATTCCAAGGGCTTCCTAAAGGTTGAGGCTTTATGGGGAAGAGCATGGGCACTAAACGTGACAAACGAGCATCATCCAAGGGGGAAGAACCAGACAAAGCAGAAGACTCCTAGACCTCCGAACCCAGAAGGCATGGACAACCATGTCTTGCACACTGCCCGAGAGCACGTTGACCAAGACTGGAGGAGACAGGCAGACACAGGTCCACCGGGGTACCTCGGGGTGAGGGGGGGCTGGGTCTTCCTGCTTCCGCTGTTATCTCGGTTCTTTCTATCTTAGAATTCTTGCTCAAAAGTAAGCAGTCTTCCTCGGTGTGTGGGGGGGATGTCACTCTTTCTTAAGGATAAAAAGCAGCAGAGACCTATCAGTGAGTCGTGCAGTCTGTACGAGGAACACTAGACTTGGTCGGGTGTCTTGAACAATGGTTCCCATCAGAAAGGAAGTATCTGTAGAACATGCACTGTTGAAGCACAGACTCACCAGTCACCTCAACTGCCGAGCCACAGCCTGGGGCCAGGCCCAGCAGCTCCCCAGCAGTAGAGACAGGGTTTGCGAGAACGGTTCCTGAGGCATGTGCAGGAGCCCCAGCAAACAGGACGGACAGGCTCGGGCTCCCAGGCCCTTGCATGTACGAGGGAGACCTCTGGAGTGAGACCCAGGGAGCTTTCTTCTTCTTACAAAACAACTCATTTTAATTAAAAGCATTTAAAAATTTCAGTAACAACTCAAGTAATGACCGATATCAACAGCAATGAACCAAGTTGACGCAGCAAGAAGAAAACTATACCATTGATAAGACTTGAATAATTCAGCAACGGCCATGCTTCACTGATGGGCTTTTATTAAAATTGTACATACATCTCATACTTAAGCTTAAAAAAAAGAACTTCCTTTTGCCCTAGTTATCAAAATAGTTACCTTTTTTAAATACCTTGAAAATCTTTAATACATTTTGTTATATATTAAATATTCTCCTAAAATCTCAATCACCTCCCTCTCTCCTGGAAGCTTGCCTGACTGTCATGACCACTCTTTTGGCATCTTGAATGCTTATCCCAGAGAAGCATTAAAAGGAAAGATTTTCCTATTAAGTCAACTATTTAAATAACAAAAAACACACACAACTTTTTTAATAGGAGAAGCCAGTGACAATATTTGAGTTGATACAGAAGGTCCGTGTCAACTAGGCTTCCCTACAGAGTTATGCTGTAAGGTCTGCCCACATCCAGTCACGTGAGTACAGGTGCTCAGGTCCTGGAATTACTTAAACAGAACTGCAGCGCTTGCCCTGAAATGGTCATGCTGACCCAACAGCACCCTCTAGTGTCCTGTAGGATAAAAGCAGCTAACAAGACATGAAGGTATCTGGGTGTGTGTTGGAAATCTAGGTGTGAAGACCAAAACTATTTTTCAGGGGTCCCAAGACAAGTGGCTTCCCGAAACCCCACTCTCCCTCAACACGGGCTGCCCACGGCTGCTCAGGGCAGAGCTAAGTGTACCAGCTTCACCAGCCCCTGAATACGCCATCAGAAGCTGGACTCCGGTAAGGTTTTCTTTCGCCCCAAGGAGAGGGTGTGGTATTTCACCTTTTGCAAGGTGCTGAAAGAAGTCTGCTCCCCGGGAACACTCCTCTGGGCCACGCTCAGGGCACTGGCCCTCGTGGGCCTGCTGGCCTTGCGTGGGAGGTGCAGAGAGTTGGGCGCAGACCGGACAGCGCCCTCCAGGCCCCTGGCCAGGCCCTCTGGCATCCTCAGGGAAGAGAATGAGACTCGAGCCTGCTCATCCACAGCCGGGCTCAGTCTGCCACTCCCCAGGGAGACTGGGGACACCTGGGGGGCCACCTCGGCCTTGTCATTCTTCTTGTTCTCCTTCTTCCAAAACACAGACCTCAGGAGGGTGAGGGTCCCCTGTGAGAGTCGGTCTGTCTCGGAGTCCCCCCACTCTGCACCAGCCCTGAACCTGGCGAAGGGGTTCCGGCGAGTGTCTGCAGGCGCCACCGTGCTCGAAGCGTCCTTGGGGGAGGGCGCTCCGCTACTGCCCCCCGCCTGGCCACTTCCCTTCCAGCTCGCGGTCCTCTGGCCCTCGGGCCGGGCCCGCTGCTCGTTCTCCACGGAGGGCATGACTGTGAGGGGCAGGTCAAACTGCCTGGGCAGCCTGACATCCGGCCCTGCAGGTTCCTTGAGTTTCCCTGCAGTGCTGAGGCCATCCGAGGTCCCAGGGGCAGCACAGTGGCCAAGGGGGCCCGAGGGGCAGGGTGCTGCAGCTGGTACTCTCTGGCCGGCTCGCTCACTGCCTTCACCCTCAGCAGAGAGGGTGGCACCGGGCCTCGGCATCGCTGACCGCTCGCCCTCGCCAGCAGCGCCCGTCAGCAGCGGCACGATGGACTGGCTGGTGGAGCGAGGTCTCCGTCTGGACTCCAGGTACTCCACCAACTCGGCAGATGCACCAGGTGCTTTCTCTCTGTGTCTGAAAGACCACCGAAGGGGCATGGTCCTGAAGGGCCCCTGCTTGGCTGGGGAAGGAGCGGGCACCTTCAGGCTGATGCTGCGGCCTCTTACGCCCCGGACCCAAGGCCTGGACTCCAGGCCTCCTGAAAGAGACACCAAAAACGTCATGCACAACAGCCCTCCGGCTCAGTAGGAGTGACTGCCGCTCCAGGCACTCCACGGGCACTGTGCTGGGCACTTGGGACACAGTAGTGAGCAAGGCGCTGTGGCTCCGCCCTCGGGAGCATCATGCTTCACTCACTGTGCCGCTGAATCCATTTACATATCTGCAGCCACTGGACAGACCAGTGCCCAAGACGGCAGCCAGCTGTGTCCAGCCACTACAGAACCCCGACGGAGCCCAGTCCCTGGGGCATCAAGGACTTAACAGCATTTTAAGTCATCTTTACATCGCTCCATGAAACAGAATGCTCAGCAATATTTCTATTTACTGAAGCTTTTTCCAGGTCAAACTAGGTGCTTGCCCCTCTCAAATGCAAGAATCTCAGCTCTCCTTCCCTAGGCTAAAAAGAACAAGAACAGAATCATGTGTCTGATTTTTTCACAGCCGCACATATGCCTCCACTGGGTGTTTTGCAACATCTGAATGGAGTTGGCCAGACGTTTTTGATATATACTGTTTAGTGAGAGAGTCTAGAGAAACAGCGTAACCCAACTTGCAAAAATATACATTCGTGTAAGTGTGCAAATATGTGCACATGTACGATGCATGCATATGAAAACATACAAACACATAAGGAGAAATAAATACCAAAATGACAAGGTGTAGAGAGGGCAATAGGGGTTCTGTCTACAACTGATTTTCCTCTTAATTCTTTTCTACATCTCAGCGTTTCTGAAGGAAACATTCATGAAACCAAGTCTGTGTATTTTTTCTTAAACACTCATACAGTTACACAAACAACTTTGTTTACAATAGCGTCAACAAGAATCAAATACTTAGGAATTAACTTAACCAAGGGCATGAAAGACTGACTGTACAATGAAAACTACAAAACATCGCTGAAAGAAATTAAAGAAGAGACAATGACATGGAAACACATCCCCCGTTCTTAGCTTGGAAGACTTCATATCGTTAAAATGTCAATATCACCCAAAGCAATCTACGGATTCAATGAAATCTCTATCAAAATCCCAATGAAGTTTTTTTTTGTTTTTTTCAAAAATAGAAAAACCTATCCTAAAATGCATATGGAATCTCAAGTCAGTCACAAAAAGACAAATACTGTATGATGCCACCTGTTGAGTTAGTCAAAATCAGAGGGACAGAAAGTATAAAGGTGATTACTCAAGTTTAGGGGGAGGGAAGAATAGAGACTTTGTATTTAATAGGAATAAGTTTCAGGTCACAAGATGAAGAGAGTTATGAGGATGGATGCTGTAAATGTAAACGTATTTAATACCACTAAACTGTATAAATAAAAATGGTTACGATGATAAATTTTGTTTATGAGTATATTAACACAATTAAAAAGTAAAAAAAAAAAAAAAGTCATCAGTCATTATATTAGTAAGACACCTTGATTTATAAGATGCCTACAGCCCTGGCCAGTTTGGCTCAGCGGTCAGAGCATCAGACCTTGGACCAAAGGGTTGTGGATTCAATTTCCAGTCAAGGGCATGTGCTGGATTGCAGGTATGATCCCTGCCCCCAGTCAGGGTTGTGCAGGAGGCAACCAATCAATGTGTCTCTCTCACATAGGGGTCTCTTCTCTCTCTCTCCTTCTCTCTCTCTCTCTCTCTCTCTCTCTCTCTCTCTGTCTCTGTCTCTTTTCTCTCTTCCCCTTCTGCTCCATTTAAAAATCAACGGAGCACAGCTGGTGTGGCTCAGTGGTTGAGTGTTGACCCATGCACCAAGAGGTTGCTGGTTCAGTTCCTGGTCAGGGCACATGCCCAGGCTGTGGGCCTGATCTACAATGGGGGGCATGCAGGAGGTGGCCAATCGATGTTCTCTCTCATCGAAGTTTCTATTTCTCTCTCCCTCTCCTTTCCCTCGTTTCTAAAACCAGTAAAAAAAAATTTTTAATCAGTGAAAAAAATACCCTCGGGTGAGGATTAACAACAACAAAAAAGACGGTTGCAATCACCAAGAAAGAAACCTTCCACTGAAACACACAACCCACACGGCACAAGGAGGCTCACACGCAGGTAGAGAAAGACCGCAGGTCAAGCACGCAAGCCCGACCCCCACAGCTGTCCTCCCATCATGGACCACGCGCTCAGCTCCAAAACTGAGCAGAACCACGGCCACCAGGAGCCCACCCCCCCACCCCCACCCCCCGTGGCACACGGCCTCGGGCCAGGGAGGGCGGGCAGGGCGTGGGCGGAACCAGGTACAGGGTGGCGGGCTTGCCAGCAGGAGAGCACACACCTCGGCCAGGCTTCCTGGGAGAAGGCCCGTGCACGGCAGGACGGGTCTCAGCGTCTCAGAGCCCTGGAGGAGTTCACCCTTCGGGCCTCTCACATATCATTTTTGGTATTTTTTTCCTTCAAAGCATTTCTTTAGGATTAGCCAGCAATAGACACAAATGCACCCAAAAAGCTTTGTAACTTCACTTTTGATTGATGGCGTTGCTCCACCATTACATTCCCGTACCACAGAGCAAAACCACTGTGGGGTCTCAGACGTGTGTGAAGCTCTTCCCTCTCCCAAGGGCAGAGAGCAGCTTCGTGTTAAGAGGACAAAGCTGTGACTCTTCACCCGTCCAAACAAGAGCAGTGGCGGGAGCCCTGGCAGGGGCGTGAAGACTCGGCCGGGGCCCCGAAGGGGCTGCGCTGCGCGGAAACCGTATGTCCAAGCAACTTTCTCAGGTCGGCAGGGAAAGCACCTTGGCCGCCTTTACTCTACCCCATTCCTTTTACTGGAGAAAGAGAGGAAAGGGGAATCCTCTGCTCCTCCCTGAAGACACCGGGAGCCGGGCAGAGGTGGTCAGAGACCCCTGCGCTCTGGCCCCCCCGCGTGGAATGTGTGACCGTGCTCATGCCCAGTCTGGCTTGAGAACAAGAAAGGGCCCGGAGTCTTGAGCCACATTGAGGATCCAAACAGCTAAGTTCTCCCTGAAGATCATATAAACCCCAGAACACACATAACAAGCTTCCCAGGTCCACAAAACGCCTCCTCACACAGATGGCGCCGGTACAGCTAGGGGCTCAGCCCCAGCACGGCCCCACCCGCACCGGCCCTGCGGCCAGCAGATGCTGCCCTGGGAAACGCCACCTCTGTCCCCGCGTCTGCCTCCTCAGGTAAGGAAATCGGGCGAGGATCCGACCTCACACTGTGTGCTGTGAGCAGGGTGGGCTGGGCCCTCCTCACCGTCCTGCAACAGGACAAGCCTCTTCCTAGTCGGGTGCCTTCTGTCTCTCCAAGGTTTCCACTCACTTCTGCTCTCACTAAGTATTTACTCAGAGCCCACTGTGTACTGAGGACAGTTTTCAGTGCTGGGGACACCGTTGTCGAAAAAATACAAAGTGCGTGTCCCTTAAGGTGTTTGACATAAAATAAAAATATACGATCTCGTGGGATGCAATGACCAGAGCTATAAGGAAGAATAAGGGGGGGACTATAGGGTGGTCAGTGAGTGACGAGTGACAAGAGACCTGCGAGAAGAGAGGAAAGAAGCCATGTGGAGATCTGGAGAAACAGGCTCTAGGCAGAGGCAACAGCAAGTGCAAAGGCCCTGAGGCACAAGTAAGCTTGGTGGGTCAGGGAGGCAGAAGAGAGACCACCAAGGCTGGAATCAAGGAATAAAAGGGTCCCAACTAAGGGTCTTCATCTTCTGAGCCCCAGTCTGCATTTGGAGACGTCTCTGTTTCTAGGCACCGAGTGCCACCTGGAGCAAGCCGACCCTCCCGCAGTTAGAAGGGAAGAAGCTACATCGATGAGCTGAGCCTTCTCCTCCTCTGAGACTGGGCTACCAGGACGAGGCTGGCGAGGGGAAAGGCTAACTCGGGCGCTGAGGTCACCACCCCAATAACCACTGCTCAAGAGAGGGCAGAGGGGAGCCCACTGGGAGAAACAGAAAAATAGCAACACACAACAAGGGGTACAGCAATCAGAGGATCAGAACACGCAGCCCTCGGAAGAACCCCTTAATGAAACAGCCACTGGAAGAAACAGACAACTCAAAATGCTCACGGAGACTCAAGTATAAAACAACAGGGGACTGAAAATATAACGCTCAGGTTTCTAAAGTCAGTAAATGAATCGAAGACATCCAAGGTCACCGTTGGAACTCAAAGTGGCCTAAAATTATCTTGAAGTGTGTGAAAATTCCATAACTGTGAAAGCAATGTCTTACACCATAGAACAAAATGACAAAGAGTTACAAAGCACAGGGTAAAACCAGGAGAGTTAGACACAATCGGCAAATAACAGGAATTTGAAAAGTACGTGAGACAATAATTAAACGACCAAAAAGAACATTTCCCTAAAGAAGGCGAGTCTCCCGAATTCTAGCTAGGGTTGATGAACAAAACACACACCTAGGCATATTCTGGTAGAATTTCTAAATGCCAAGGTCAATGCTGAATCTTAAGAGCCTCCAGCCAGGAAGAACAAGTGACTGTCACGTGAAGAAGAATGGGCTTCTCACCTGCACCCGAGGCCGAGGGGACCGTGGGAAAACATGCACAGCCGCCTGAGATGTGCAACCCAAGAGTCCTCCCAGCAGCCAAGCTGCCTTCCCTACGTGAAAGAAAATACCTGTGGCTATGCAGGGGTAGGGAAGGCACCATGCATACCCGAAAAGGACTCTGACCAAACACTAACGCGTCAGCACTGGGACCCCAAGACAGAGGGTGGCGGAAAGAAGACGGTCTGTGGTGTCCAGGGGACGCTGCACTCTGTGTACCATCCACCCACGAGGGGGCAGGTGTGTTAGAATGTGCAACAGGAAGTTAAGTAAGTGTGTTTGGGATGGAAAAGGTGCTGCCAGAGGAATGCTAGTGACGGTCTGGAAGAGTATTAAACCAGCTCAGGAAAACCTAAGAGTCGGGGTTGAGGAGGAGGGGTCCTGACAGGCAGGGGGGTGGGGGTGGGGACATGCAGAAAAGCATCTGAAGCTGTGGCCGGAGGGGGTGACATGGAGCATTATGTAGGTCTCACATGACTGGGCGGAGGAGCGAAGGCAGCAAGGAAATAGGACTCAGGAAATTGTTGGCTTCTCATATCCACATAGTAACAGGAAAAGGCACAACCATCGAAAGGCATAAATATTGGGAAATATAAAGTAACAATTAGCAGGAAGGCAAAGAACAGAACTTGCAAATGATCGAGGGGGAAAATAGCAACAGGATCAAATCAGCAAACAAGGGGGGTGGGGGAGTAATGAAAAAAGTTTCAAATGAAATGAAAGTAAGTTTTGTAGTTGTTATATTAAATATAAATAGACTGAACTCTCCCCCTTATAAGATAGGCTCTGAATTTTTTTACATTAAAAAAAGCAACATACTGCTTATCAAACTACTTAAAACTAACTCTAAAAGAAATACTCCAAGAGAGAAAGGGTAAAATGATACCAGGAAAACGCAAGCAAACAAACAAAAAAAGGGTGAAAGGCTCTAATTATTCATCTTGAACCAGGTAGAAATTAAGATTAACAGCATTAAGCAGAATAAAAAGCAACGTTATCAGGAGAAAAGACACAATGTATAAAGATCTAACAGTCATCAGCTACAAAGCAGCTAAACATAAGTTAATATTTGAAACAAAAAGTATTCAAGTTCTTGGAGTACTTGACTAACAATACAGCTACACGGGGAGGTGTCAACAGGCAGGCCTACCTGTGGTCGCTTTAAAGACACAGGTGAATTGAAGACACCAACTCACCCAATAGTAATGATATAAAGCTCACATCCCTCAAATAGACGATATACATTATTTTACATGTAAACAGAACATTTAACAAAATGCTCAAGTACTTGGTTGATCACAAAAAGGGAATGTGTGAGGACCACATTCTTAGATCACAATCCACACACATCAGAAATAAAGACTAAAAACGTGACAGAAAAATCTTAAGTACTTGAAACGGGCAGATAACCTTTCAATCAAAGAGGAAATCAGAACTGAAATAACATACTATCTGGAAATCACTGAGAGAAAGAAAAACAAAATTTTTGAGGCCCAATTAAAGCCATAAAAGAAATAGACCACTGGAGCACCTATACTACTGAAAACTCAAGGAACCGTAAGGCCCAGGACCCCTTACTGCCAGGGACCCCAGCAATGTCTTCAAATGGTCACGTTTCTGTAAAAGTTGCAAAAGCAAGCTGTCTTTCCTCCGACCCGTCCCCAGTACTCTAAGTGCAGTACCACACAACTCGACTCCACTCACTCTAGTTTACAATGTCTTCCTTATCACGGTGCCCATAGCCACAGCTACGGAAGATGACGTTCCCAAGGTATCAGTGTTCCCCTGGAGGACTGCTGGCATTTGGGAGGGGCAATTTTGTACAGAATGGCACCATCCCTGGGCATGGTAGACCTTCAGCATCCCTGCCTTTGACAGGAAAAAACTCCTCCCAGCCCTGGCCAGTGTGGCTCAGTTCGTTAGAGCATCGTCCTGTACACCTGAAGGCTGTGGGCTCAATTCCGGATCAGGGCACCTGCCCGGGTTTGGGGCTTGCTCTCCTGTCAGGGTGCATACAGGAGGCAGCCAATCAAAGTTTTTCTCTCACATTGATGTTTCTCTCTCTCCCTCCTCCTTTCTCTCTCTCTGGAATCAATGAAAACAAATCCTCAGATGAGGGGTAAAAAAAAATTCTCCCTAGTAGCCATGGGGAGAGGAGGTTGTACCAACCACTACTAAAAACCTATAAGCTACATTTTGATCTTGCCCTGGTTTAGTACTAACAACATTAAATAGGCTGTATTTTCAACAGCCTCAGAGCCCCTCAAACAGGTTCTAAAACCTGTCACCACTTTATTCAAACCCCAAGAGGGAAGGCGCCTCCGGAAGCAAGGTTCTTGCAGTGTCACGAGGGAGTGGGCTGGATCGGAAGCTGTCAGAGAGTCCCTCTGCGGCCGCAGGCGTTAGCACCCCCCCCCCCCCCCCGCTGTCCACCGAGGCCGCAGGCGTTAGAGAGAGAGAGAGAGAGAGAGAGAGAGAGAGAGAATACTTCAATTAAATTTTTTATTTAAAAAACTATATCAGCTCTGGCTGGTTTGGCTCAGCAGTTAGAGCGCTGGCCTGCAGACCAGAGTCTCAGGTTCAATTACGGTCAAGGTCATGTACCTTGGTTGCAGTTCAGTCCCCAACCCTGGGTGGAGTCATGAGGGAGGCAACCAATCGATGTTTCTCTCTCTCTCCCTCACGTTCTATCTGAAGATAAATAGAAAAATATCCTCGGGTGAGGACTTAAAAAAAAAACACACCCAGGAAATCAGGTACTAATGGGAATGTGGAAACAAAGTAACTAGAGTGCTGTCATTCTCTGACCGAAGGAGCAGAGGCTAATGCGGGCTCACGCGCACCCAGTTTTTACTGAGGGCTGCTTCTGCAGTTATCACCTTGCTCTCTCGCACCGTCTCCACCTCCTCTCTCTAGACTGCTCATCGGAATGCTAAATGGAACTATGGTTTCCTATTTGCAAAGGAAGACAATCAGAAACTGCTGTAGGCCTGCACCCCTCTGAGCCCTGACCCTTCAGCCTGCCAGGTGTGCACCCACTGTCGCTCCTTCAGCCCGTGTCTTCTCCACCTGTCACAGCTGCTCCATTCTCTCCAACCCACGGCAGACACTCCTGGCCAGTCACTGGTGGCTTACCCATCACAGGCCATCCTCACGTAGCCTCCCGACCACATGTGACATGGCTGGCCACTTCCTTCGAAAGCTTTTCCTTTTCTGCACGTGCGACTCGTTTTCAGCCAGGTTTCTTCCTGTCTCACCGGCTGCTCCTTCTGTCTCTGCCGACCTCCTGCCCTGCCTCCGGATGTGGGAGAGCCCCAGGGCTGGCCGAAGGTCTTGACTCTCTCCTACCCACACAGTTCCCCTAGGAGAGCTCAGCCAGCCCCGTGGCTCTAAGCTCCATCCGCGTGCTGATGGCTCGAACATTTCTCTCCGCTCCCTGGTAACCATCTCGATGTGGATGTCCTATCCGCGTCTCAGAGTTATCACGTCACACATTTCTTGATTTCTCTCCAAAACTGACTGTTTCCTACCCAGTTCTTGCCCATCTCATTAACTGCACTTCTAACCTAACCCCCTGTCCCTTAGATGCAAACGAAGCAGAGTCCTCCTTGAATACACTTTCTCTCCCACAGCTAACCCTTCAGCTCCGTCTTCAAGTATGTCCAGAATCTGACCATGCTCACCTAACCTGCTGTCCAGGCCGCTCCTCTGTCACCTGGACAAGCACACAAGCCTCCCACTGTCCTTCCGTCTTCCCCTCTTGTCCCTCTGCGATGCATTCTCCACACAGCAGCCAGAATACACTTTTCTTTAAAAATCCTAACCCAAGGATAGTTTTCCATTTATCTTCCGGCAGAGTGGGAGGGAGGGAAAAAGAAAGAAAGGGGGAAGGGGAGAGAGAAAGAGAAAGAGAGAGAGAGACATCAATGTGAGAGAGACACATTGACTGGCTGCCACCCGCATGACCCCAACCAGGGCCAGAGACCAAACCACAACCGAGGTACATGCCCTTGACCGGAATCGAATCTGTGACTGGTCCTCGGGCCAACAGCTGAGCCAAACCAGCCAGGGCCAGAACAGAGGTTTTTTTGTTTGTTTTTTTTATCCTCACCCAAGGACATTTTTTTTCCATTTTTATTCAGATAGAGTGAAAGGGAGAGAGAGGAAGAGAGAGAGAGAGAGAGAGAGAAACATCCATGTGAGAGACACATCGAGTGGTTGCCACCTGCAGGACCCAACCAGGGCCGGGGACAAACTGCAACCGAGGTACGTGCCCTTAGCGGGAACCGAACCTGGTCTCTCTGGACCGCAGGCCGATGCTCTAACCGCTGAGCCAAACCGGCCAGGGCCAGAATAGAGTTTTTTTAAAATGTAAATCACATTGGTAACTCCCCTGCTCATAATTCCCCAAAAGCTACCCACTATACTTGGGATCAAACGCAAACCGAGTCCATGAGTCTAAGGTGCATCATGGCCTGGCCACGGTTTCCTGTCACTGTCCCCTGCTCCAGCCACAGCGCTGGTGTCTTCTGCCCCCCACACTCCCACACTCTCTGCCAGACTTCTCCGCGACCCCTCCCCATGCTCCAACGCTGCCTCCCACGCAGACAGGCCCTCCGCACACTCCCTCTGGTCCTGCCTCGACATTTCCTCCTATGACCGACCTCCCACCCTCGTCCCTGCTTTAAGCTCCGGGGACAGGAAGACCGTGCCTCCTGCTGGAGAGGGCAGAGGAGGGGAGGTCGGCAAGGCCAGGTCACGGGAGGCCCCACTCGAGAGAAGACTAAGCCTCTCGTATTGATGACACCGTATACTCAGGGCCATGGAATCCTGCCCTTTCATAAAGATGAGGAGTGAGGGTCGTTCCAGAAAATACAAATAAAATCAGCAAGTTTACCCAACCTGGTAAAACGTACCATTTTCCGGACCGGAGAGGCTGTTTGTGAGAGCGGGGGGGTCGGGCACCTGGGGCCCACAGGGGCTGGGGGCAGAGCGCCCGGACAGCAGGCTGCCCCATGTGCTGCTGTCATTGCTCTCGAGCCTCGCGAGCCAGTGATCAGACAAGGTGGAGCTGGTGGAGCCTGGGGAGGAAGCACAGAGAGGGGAGGTGAACCCACTCCACCCTCTGGGTCCCCAGGGCAGCTTCTCTCGGCCAGGCTCCCATCCCCGAGCCCCGGAACTCCAGACCAGAGCAGAATCACACACGTGGACGTGAAGGGCAGAGGAGAGACCGGCAACCGATTAACCGTGTGACCACGCTGAAAATTTAGGGACAGGCCTTTGGCACAGAAAGGAAAGTATGTTGCGTATGGAAATGCTTTTTGTGAAATTACTTGTCACTAACTCGTTTTCTAAATATGGTCTGGTTTCCATTCTTTCTACGTCTATCTTCTGTAAAAGGAAGGTAGACATTGCGTTAGGGTGGATTTAGACCATTTAGGGTGCCGCTTAGCTTTATTTGGCCAGTTTCCAAGGACTGTTGGAGAAAAAAACCTGAGTAATTAAAAAAATAAAATGCTCTTTCATCCCAAAGATAAGGATGGTTAGTTTTCAGAGTGAAATAAGTCACATAAAACTGTCGATTTTGATCTTTTTTTTCCCTCCAGACTTCTAAGCAAGTTTGAGGTTAGGGTTCACTAATAAACGTGTCGCTGGGCAGCAGCTGGGTCTCCTGTGAAGGTCCTGCAACCCTCAAAGCTGCCCCGTGCTTTCTCCCAGGACAAATGCAGACTTCTGTTGCACATGCTTAATTAAAATCTGGCTTGACGTGAGTGAGCCTGGGAATATGAAATCCCACCAGCAAGAGTCGTCTGCCTTAGGTACAAAACATCGTTCCCTTCCCCTGTGTTAGATTTCAGCACGACCATTCCACGTCCTTGCAAATGGGATTCTGGCCCGCAACGGTCAATCTCTAGGGCAGCAGCTACCGCTTCCACTTCCGGGTCCGTGCCTGCCTCGGCTGGTCCTTGGAGTTCGAGTAAGCACCTTCCCGATTCTCCCCTGTCCTGAGAGAGCAGCGGCACCTACCTCTCATGGAGCTGCTGGCTGACCAGGAAGGGATGCTGTTCCGTTTCTGATAAAACAGGATGTAAGCCCCTCGGGTCATGACCTCATCTTCTAGAAGTGATTCCACCGTGCTGTCGTCATAACTGTACCACTGGCCATCCAGAGAGTTCCGGCAATAGGCTGCAAAGGTCCAAACCCCAAGTCCCGTTATTGAAGGCCCCCCCCCAAAGCAGGAAGACATACCCCACTGTCATAGCTCAGAAAGGGACACGTTAGTAACACTATGAGAAATATCGGTCCAGTTTGTAGAATCAAAAAGAACCCCTCAGTTACACTCCCAGACGCCTCCTGATAAGGTGTGCTGCTACTTGAAACCGAATCCTTAGGTTGTAGCCCTTGCTCAAGCAAAATCAATAAAAGGGAGCCCCAAATTATTTAGCCAGACAGTGATGTCTACGTTCACCCATTTCTTCTGAAAAGCTCCATGATGCACGTCTCTTAATGCAGTACGCCATGGAGATACGCAGCTGGATTCTGGTGTCAATAAGATTCTCACCACCTTCCAAACAATCAAAACAAAATGTTCTTCTCCTCTCCCTCCACATCAGGGAATGGTCCATCACCCCCTAATCTAGAGTCAGCCAACTTTTCCTGTAACGGACCAGACAGAAAATATCTCAGGCTTTGCAGGGGACATATGGCACACACGGTCTCTGCCATACATTCTTGTTCTTTTTCACCACTTTTTAACATGCAGAAACTATTTTTAACTCACAAACCATACAAAAACAAGCCTTAGACTGAATTTGGCCCACAGGCCCTGGTTTGCTGACCCTGCACCAGTGCAAACCAGGCACCTAGTGATCCATCTTTGCTCTCCCCTTTCCCTTCCACCCTACACCCAGTCCAAAAGCCAGTTTTACTGAGTCCACTTCCAAAATATGTCTTGAACACCCTGATTGTATCACCTGAGCCCCAGACAATACCGTCTCTCACTTGAGCCCTGGAAACATCCTCCTAACTGGAATTACTTCTTCTCTTGTTCCCTCCTATCCATTCTCCATGGAGAACTACTACCTCAATTTGTCAACAGAATTACACCATTAGTCCTCTGCCTAAAACCTCTTAATGGCTTCCCATCACCCTTTAAAAAGAATGCAAACTCTTGTCCATGGCTTACATTGCCTTCTCATCCAGCCCCATCTTGTCTGTCTTACCCCTGAATCACTACACTGCAGCCATAACAGGCTTTCACCAGTTCTCAAACACACCAAAGCTCTGCCTCAGGGCCTTTGCACATGCTAGTAGCTCTGCCCATAATGCTCTTTCTCCCAGTATTCACATAGCTAGTCCCACCTCATCCTTCAGCCTGGACCTAATGGTGACATCCTCAGAGAGGCCTCATCTCTGTCACAGACACAATTCATCAGTCCCTTTTCATAATGCCAGGTAGTGAAAGGACTAAAGTGGTGAGACCCCTTTTATTGTCTGTGTCTGAAGTTAGACTGAAGTCCCAGGAAGGCAGGACACTCTCTGTCTTGTTCATCATTGAAGCTCCGGCACCTAGCACAGGGTCTGACACAGAATGAAGGGGTCCTTAATAAATATTTGTCCAATGAATGAATGAGTGATGATCAGGAATTTCTATACAGTCCAGTGTCTTCCATGCATTTCTTACAGTCCAGTGTTGTAGGTACATCAGTATACTACAACAGTACACTTTTTGAGCAATACATTTTTTAAAGTTTTTAAATAAAATAATTCATGTTATTCTAGAATAGAATAGACTAAGGTATATGAACAATTGAGCAAGTCATCCAGATGTTTGTTTCTGTCCTTCCATTTGCCTACTTCTCTCGAGTTCCTCTGAAGGATAACAATTAAATGCCCCCACCCCAGAAATGTAAACATCTGAGGAGAGTCCTTGTGTTGAATCACAGATGAGGATAAATGTCACTTTCTCAGTTCTAACAATTATATGGCCGGAAATTCGGGCCATAACTTATTCCCCCCACCAGCCTAGCTGAGCTCTGTGGCTGGGACCAAGCTCCTGCCCGCCGGCAGAGGCCGGTGCGCGGCAGCTGAGGGTCAGCTCACGTCGTGCAGGGGCTGAACGAGCTCGGCCTTCCGAGAGCGCGCCGCCCGGGCGTCCTGGGGCCCAGGCCACCGGCCGGGAGGCAGAGCTCACCTGTGTAATGCCCACCTTGCAGACTGCCGTGGTGGTTGCAGACGGCGTACAAGTCGTACAGGAAGTCCAGCGGGTAGCTGGTGGGCAGGCAGGCAGGCTGCGTCCAGGAAGGCCAGGCGCCGGGCGCGGGGCCCGCGCTTCTCCGGGCCACGTGCGGTGCCATGTTGAGGCCGCAGAGCGGGAACTTCACCAGCGTGGAGAGCTTGTTTCTTCTCTCCCCCACCTGACAGAACCTCTTGAGGTGGATGATGAGGATGTCGGGCAGGGTCCACAGGCTCAGCTTCACCATGCCCTGCTGGAGGGCTTTGCAGTGGGGACACTTCCACGCATCGTCCTGGGCCAGCTGGAAGGGAAGCCACCGGGACGTGAGGCCCTGCGGCACCGGGCCAACCCCCGGAAGGCGCCAGCCCCCGGCTGAGAGCACACCCCGGGCCGGACCTGCTCCTCCTTGGTGTAGAACTGGAAACATTCGTCCAAGGTGCAGCTGTGCTGCTGGTGCGCCTGCTGCTGCCGCCACACGCTGTCGGCGTCCCGCACCCGCTCCTCCTGCAGGCTCCCGAACAGGCTGCGGAGAGGGGCCACGGCCTCAGGGCTCCTCCCCAGAGGGCTCTCCTCCCCTCCCCTCTCTCCACTCGCAGCCAGCAGGATGAGGCGTCCGCCCGGCGAGGGCAGGCGCCCCTGGGGCCTCATGTCCGCGCTGCCCCACACTCGCTGTTTTCCTGGGTTTCTGTCTCCTCCACCAGCTCCATGAGGGACCAAGTCCTCGCCTGTCTGACTGTTCCCTCGTCCTAGCGCAGGGCTACCACCTCGGGGGACCTAATAAACACTTGCTGGCCTGCACAGTGTCCTTGTTCAAAGTAGGGCTGATGCACTCGGTGCTACAGAAGCAGCCAAGGGTAGGGATTAAGAGTGTGAGTCAGGCCCTGGCCAGTTTGGCTCAGCGGTTAGAGCGTCAGCCTGCGGTCTGGAGAGACCCGGGTTCGGTTCCCGCTAAGGGCACGTATTTCGGTTGCAGTTTGTCCCCCGGCCCTGGTTGGTAGTGCGGGTCGCAGCTACTCGATGTGTCCCTTTCACGTCGATGTTTCTCTCTCTCTCTCCCTTCCTCTCTCTCCCTCCCACTCTATCTGTACAAAAAAATGGAAAAATGTCCTCGAGTGAGGATAAAAAAATAAATAAATAAATAAATAAATAAATAAATAAGAGTGTGAGTCAGAGCAGGACGACAGGGGTTCAAATCCCGGCTGTGTGACACTGAGCAACTGTTCAACCTCTCTATACCTCAGTTTCCACATCTGAAAAGGCAGACTGTAGTGGTACCCACACCCACAGAACGTAATAAGGATCAAATTCACTGCAAATACGTCACGTGCTCAGAGCGGTGCCTGGCACGGAAGAGGAGGCATCACCTAACAGTTCGCTCGGAGCACTGCGCACGCACCACCCACTGCTCCCACGGATACCGTCACAGGCATATCTTGTTTCACTGCGCTTCAGGGATGTGTTTTTAACTGAAGGCGAGACCCTCCGCCAGCAAACAGATCACGGCTCACTCTGTCGCGATGCTCGTGCTGCTGCAGTGGTCTGGAACAGAGCCTGCGCTATCCCTGAGCTGGGCCTGCACGGTCCTTGCTGTTTACACACCGACGGCCGCCACTAGGGTTTCTCGGGGGCGTGGGTCACATGGCATCAGGGAGGTTTGCATACTGCCTCACGGACACTGGGACACTGGGCACAGGAAGGCGGGACTGTCTGTCCCTGCTGGAGTCAACACCTATGGAACTCACCGCTCCTTGACACCGCTGTCCCACTCGACAGCCAGTTTGACGTGGGGGGGGCCTCCTGGCCCCCGGAGGTGCAGAGCCCTGAGGAGAGAGCAAGGAGCCCGTCAGAAAGCATGGAGCCTCCTTCCTACACCTCTGCCGGGTCCGACGGTCTGCCCGCACCCCCAGGACTGATGCTCCAAACAGAAACACCCAAAGCTGAGAGTAACCGAGGATCTGGAGCTGCTGTCTGCGGAAGGCTGAGTCCTAACATACCTCTGAACACCTGCCGCTCACTCCCTGGGAGCTTGTGAGCTCTGAGGATTTGGGTTACTGCCAGGACACAGGCCAACTCTCCCACTGCACCCCAGAACCTTCTCGGTCTCGAGGGCAGTTCCCCTTGAATGTCCGACACAAATCCCCAGTTGTGACGATGCCTAAAATGAGCGGCTCACTTTCCTCCACCACAGTGCGAAGGGAGCACCCTCTAGTCCGCCGCCACCATCTAAAAGGTCTCTCAGACCCTGGAATGCCCAGACGCTCTCAACGTGAATCGACCTGTAGCTCTTCCCAGCAGCTGGGGCTCAGCCCACTTCAGCACAGGTTGGCTGCTCTTAACACAGAAGAGATAAGTCAAGAAGGGGAGGGCACGAGGCTTTGTCCCCAAGTCAACAAGACACATACAAGTGCTGGGAAAGTCTGCACCCAAGGGTGCTTGGAATGTACTGTAAGAAAAAAAGTGGGGACGTCACAGGAGAGAACCTGTCACCAGGACGATTCAAAAGCAGGGTCTGAGCTCACGGAAGGTGCGAAATTGTGTGGCTGCGCCAGGCTGGGGGCAGAGTCGGGGCACCATCCTAAGGAACAAGAGCCAGTGGGGAGAAAGGACGGGGTGCCTGGGAGAAGCCCTCCCAGCCCGTCATTCCAGGGGAATAATGACCGCCTTCCTCGCCCTTCTATAGAATGCGGGGAGCTAGGCTACGCGCACCTGATCGTCTCCCTCTTCATCTGCCTCACTCCCTCGAGAGAAGCAGCACCTTATCTGGTTGATGGGGGGGGGGGGTCAGCTTGCCCCTCCTGCTTAGCCTCCCTGCGGCCTAATAGCCAGCAAGCTGCCTTCTCTCTCACCCTGCAGGTGGAAGGCGGGCAGACCAGGGCAGCCTTCAATTCAGGGAGACACACTGGGGAGCCCGTGGCAGCCCTAGATCTAAGCCTCTTTACAACCCTCAAATTCTCCATTTCGACAACTGGAGAGATCTGCTTGCTGGAGGGTGGGGGTGTTCAATTCTGGAAAACCTATTCAAAAGCTCATATTGGACTCCTATCTAAGCCACATCTTTTAATCGGTCAAGGATCATGTAAGACACCTAACGTGTTGACCTCTTTCTGCCTCCATCCTGTCTCCTTTTCCGCCGGAGTCAGCTCGGGGGTGGAAGAGGAGACTCGGCATCTTCAGGCTTTAACTGTTAGAACGAGCCCGCAGCCGCACAAAGGGGAGGAGTGTGGGTGTGCCTGCGGTTCCCTGCTCACTCCAGCAACGAGGGCACGAGCTGGCTCCAGGCAGAGGTGCTTCCGAGCTACACAAGGGCATGTCTCCACCCTGAAGGAGCTGCGAGTCTCACGGGAGACACAGAGTGGCGCTGTAACGTGCCCCGGGTGTTGATGGGGACTCAAGAGGAACGCACCCAGGCTGCCCTGGAGGCCAGAGAAGAAGCCTGCAGGGGGCGTGCAGGTGTCCAGGTGAATGGTGAGTGGTGAGGGAAAAGGGTCAAAGGCACACGCAGGGGCTCGGGGACTGCAAAGGGCGGGATAAGTGCTGGAAAGGGGAGCAGACGCTGGGTGCGCCCAGATCTCGGAGGGAGGGCGGGCTTTCTACGCCACCCTTGGAGGTGTGGACTTTACCCTGTGGGCCACCAAAGGGCTTTAAACAGACAGGTCCGGAAGCAGATGGGAGAGAAGGACCCTGGTCTAGAGGCGGGTATGTCAGAGCGGAGGTTCCCGGGGCACCCAGCTAAGAGGAGCTCAGGGCTGAACCCGGGCAATGGTGGTGAATGTGAAGGAGGGACGAGATCTGAGGAATCACCAGGATTTGGAACAAGAAGACTGGACGGCGGATTAAATGCGAGGAGAAAGCGAGGAGGAGGAATCAAGGGTGACTCCCAGGATACCAGCTTGGGCCCGAGTAGGTAGACAGTGGTCACCTTTTAGTCCCAGAAGACAGGGAGAGGAAAGGCTTAGCGGGGAAGAGTTCAGTTTTCATGTCTATGAGATGCTGAAGGCCAGGTGGTCTGTACCTCAGACAAAAACCTAGGGCTCAGAACAGGTTGGTTACTGGAGCAGTTCTGCTAACATCCGTTCCCTTTCGTACCACCATTTCATCCCATTTCTTGCCCTCTCCACTTCTGCGGAACTGGTGATCGGGGCTATTTGTTAAACGTATTTGTTTTTGATTCTCTTGTGTGCTGTGGGCACTGGAGTAGAGATTTTTTTTGTGGGGGGACAGTTTATTTCACCCCATCCTGCCTTTTGTGCTTATTTTTAATCCTTTCTTGTAAATATTTTGTAAAATTGTGGTGAAATGGATCACAATGTCATTTCCTAGTACAAAGCGAGAAGTGTGGGAAGAAAATGTACAATTTTTTAACTAAAATATTTCCCACTGACCTAAACTTTGAGTGTTTCATGAAATAAATAAATGTTCTACCGCAAGAAATACAGATCGGAGAGGCCTGGACCTAAAGGTGGCAGGTAGAAGCAAAGCAAGATAATCCAGGGAGCCGGGTTGGTGTGGCTCAGTGGCTGAGCATCGACCCATGCACCGAGAGGTCGCCAGTTCGATTCCCAGTCAGGGCACATGCCCAGGTTGTGGGCCAGATCCCCAGTGGGGGGCCTGCAGGAGGTGGCCAATTGATGTTCTCTCTCATCAATGTTTCCATCTCTCTCTCTCCCTCTCCTTTCCTCTCTAAAAATCAATAAAGAAAAAATATTTTTTTAAAAAATGTAATGAGGGGGAGACACGCAAAATACAAGTTCAATATTGTAAACATTGTTACATTCATCATATTTAAATTGCTCTGTCATATTGCTTTAATGCTTCTAAATGCTTCCTCTCAAGTCCTTGTCATGGACGGTGCCAGCCAGCTGGTGGTCTTGGAACCCACGCCGAGTAGCAGTTCTCTGAGATGCAATGCAGGGAGGGGCCCTTCTCAGAGCCCCCACCCCGCCCCCGGCCCGCTCCTCCTGTCAGACCGACAGGCCCTGGCCGACGTTTCTCCTGCCTCCCTGACTCTGTACAGCAACTACCAGCCAAAGGGGTGCAGATGGGGTATAGGGCACAGAACTTTCTGGCTTACCCCTATTCTAATGTCTGGTCTTTATAAACAGAGGGCCCTCCCTATTACAAGTCTGACACCAATTCCAATGTGGTTTTCTCCACACCACCAAGCACTTAACTCTGTTCTGACACTGTCTACCTGGAGACAGCTTCAGACTGCTGGCCCCTCCCCCACCTCAGGCAGCAATAGCAAGTCCAGGTCATCACCTGTGTTTCTGACCAACCCAATACTAGACGGGAGTGTCCAAAGATTCCCTCCTCGGGTTCAATTAACTTGCCTAGAGCAGCTTACAGAACAGACCCAGTTTACTGACGAGATCATCAGTGTGGGATAAAAGGATATAACTCAGGAACAGCCAGACGCAAGGAGGGGCAAGGTGTGGGGAGGGGCAGGGAACAGCCACACCCCCTCCAGGCTCCGCTCTCCCAGCACCTCCCTGTGTTCATCGGTTCAGAAGCTCCCCCAACAATGCCTTTTTGGGGTTTTATGGAGGGTTCATTACATGGTCAGGACTGATTAGATCATTAGGCACTGGGGAGATTCCACCTCCAGCCCTCTTCCCCTTCCCCAGGTCAGGGGTGGGACTCAAAGCGCCAGCCCTCTCAGCATGTGTCGGTTCCCCTGGCAACCAGCCCCATCCTTCGGTGCTTCCCGAGTCACCTCATTAACACACACTCGGGTGTGGTTGAAAGGGGTTTATTATGAATAATAACACGACATTGGTAATGTTTTTTGGGTTTTTGTTTTTTTTTTATCCTCACCCGAGGACATTTTTCCATTTTTTGTACAGACAAAGTGGGAGGGAGAGAGAGGACGAGAGAGAGAGGGAAACATCGATGTGAAAGGGACACATCGAGTGGCTGCCACCCGCACGACCAACCAGGGCCGGGGACAAACTGCAACCGAGGTACGTGCCCTTAGCGGGAACCGAACCCGGGTCTCTCCGGACCGCAGGCGGACGCTCTAACCGCTGAGCCAAACTGGCCAGGGCAACATTGGTAATGTTTTTATCATTTAAGAAATCCCAAGGGTCTCGGGAGCTCTGAGCCAGAACTGGGAACCCCAAATATATATGTCTCATACAAATCGAAACAGCACACCTATACCATGGACGCAGTCAGCTCTGGGTGACCAAGCTAGGAACGAGAGAACCTTACTGAGGACTCCGTGGGAAAACGAGCAAAACTGCCGCTCAGGTCCTGTGCCGGCCCTGCGGGCTGCCCGGCAAGGCCACGTCCAGGAGCTGCTTCCGCGAAGAATGTCAGAACCACAGGAGACACGGCCACGCGGCTTTAATCCTCAGCCAGAGTCCACAGTCTCCGCCAGTTTGGGGCGATGGTTCAGTGGTAGAATTCTCCCCTGCCCTTGGGGGAATTCAGGTTGGATTCAGCAGCATGACTAACTGAATGAAGTTGGGTTTTTCCGTCAGATCTGGATTCAAATTCGGGTGTGGCCATTACCTAGTTGTGTGAGTGTACAAGTGAACTGATGTCTGGGACCCTGAGTGTCTCCTCATCTTTGAAGTGGCCATCAGAGTACCTCTAGACATGAGTGCTGCAAGCACAGGTGTGTGTAAGGACCAGACACCAAGGCAGGCCCTGCAGAGGGAAGGAGCCGAGAGCGGCTAAGACTGTAATCAACTCTACTGATATATAGCCTCCAAAGAGCCCAGTCAAATAAGATCATGGTCATTCTCTTCCCCAACCTGGAGCATCCCCTTACCTGTCCACTGCCCAGTGACAGAGAGGCCTGCTGTCCTGTGGGGATAAGTAGCTAAGGGCCAGGGATTGGCCCACAACCCGGATGGAGAACAGTGACCCTGGGTTCTGCCAAGACAAAAACAGGGAGGTGGGTCATCATCCGTGTTGATTTAAATTAGACTCTTAAGTGCAAATTACTCAAAAATGTAGTCCTATTTGTTTACAGTCTATTTTGAATATTCCCTTAATAATTATTATTTACAACCTAGAGATGTGAAGGCTTTATCTGCCACTGCAAATACACACTGTACCCTTTAACACAGTGATCTAGCACTGTCTCACATTACATTTCCAAAGGACAAACATGCTGTTCTTAAATAACTCGTGTTTAACTGGACCTGAAGCTGGCACAGTCATTGGGAAAATAAACCAATTATGTCAATGAATTATTAATAGGTAATTTAACTTACTTTAAGGTAATTATCATCACCAAATTACCAAAGTGAGCCAATAATCTAAAAGCAAATTAGTATATATTTTACATACCAAATGCTAAGCAAACACTTCAAAACAAGCCACATAAAGAAATACCAACTATGTTTTTATTCTAAGTTCCTAAAGAATATTTCTGGACACAAAAATACCATCACAAAAAGATCCAAAACACTTCCAATATTTAACACTGAAATAAGTATGATCTATATAAACATTTGAAAGATGAATAAACACAAGGAAGAGAATGATTTTCCAAACCACGAATTCCAGTTCGGGGTCACGGATGGCCAGAGCCTCTCTCGACAGGTGACCCTTTCAGGGCAGGGCCACTCACATCCCCCCTCACTCTTACTGGCAATCTGGACAGCCAGTTCACCTCACGTGTACATCGTTGGGATGTGGGCGAATACTGCATGGAATGGGGAGAGTGTACAGACTCCACACAGACCGTAGCCCTGGCCAGAAATCGATTTCTTTTCATCAAGGTTATAATGAAACAATGTTGAATGATACATTGTTTTTTGAGGACTTGCCCGACTTCCTAAACAGAGGTTAGTTAAATCTGGAGGAAAACTCTTTTTCCTGACACTCCTAATTGAGCTTTGCTGGTTGGATGGCAATATAGCATAATCAGGGTCGCTGCACTGCCCGGAGGCAGCTTACCCAGCCAGCATGCAAGGAAAGTTCACAAGGTCACCACAAAAATGTCTCAGCAATGATAAACCTCTTTCTTTAATAATTCATGCAAATTAAGCCTGTCCAGCAAATGGGTCATTTTTGTAAGAGACACTTTCCTGTCCTCTATTCTTGGCTGCAGAAATTCATTTTAGAACCTCCGATATGTGTTCACTATTTTTAATCTCTTCAGTGCAATAGTGTGAATTCTGAATGTATCCTTTTCAAATGACTACCACATCGAGCCAGCGTTGAATATATTACTAAAAGCAGTACGAGCAAAACAGGTGGGCCAGCCTGGGAAGCCCACACCATTTAGAATACACTATCCCTACAGAGAATCGTGTCCAAGCACACACTTACCAGTGACTGTGGAAAAGCGTCCACAGCTGAGTTGGAGGGTCACCTGTATTGGAATTTTGCTGGCCCCACTGTTTGCTGAATTGGTTTCTAAAGTCAAAGGGACTGCAGGGGTGCCAAGGCAAAGGGACACATGTGTCCAGGCGGAGAACCGGCCAGCTGGGTTCAATGTTCACATGAAAGTAGTTTCAGCCACTTTCAAGAACCAGGGGCACAGGGGTTGGGGGGAGCTAAAGCTATTCCTAGATCCTATGACCTACTTAGAGAGTAGTTCATGTTTCCAATTTGGGCTCTGGACAGATCTGCTGGACAGAACAGAGCAAAATCGCTTAGAGCTAATGATGGCTACAAATGCAGGGAAGGTCTTTAACAAAGTGATATTTGGTATAAATCTAAATTAAGTGTACAGTTTTCCCTGAGCACAGAGGAACATGAATTATAAAGAATTACTCCTGGCCCTGACCAGTTTGGCTCAGTGGTTTGAGCATCGGCCCGTGGACCAAAGAGTCGCAGGTTCAATTCTGGTCAAGGGTACGTACCTTGGTTATGGTTTGGTCTCTAGCCCTGGTCGGGGTTGTGCGAGAGGCAACACATCAATGTGTCTCTCTCACACATCAATGTTTCGCTCTCCCTCTCCTCTTGCTCTCTCTCTCTCTTCCCTTCTTCCCTCTCTCCCTCCCCCTCACTCTATCTGAAGATAAATAGAAACATATTCTTGGATGAGGATTAAAAAAAATTATTACCCCTGAAGTTTGGTACATTCCCCAAATGAAAAGTTCTTACGAAGAGGATAGCTAGGGAAAACAAAATCCCAAAGTTACTGACCTGTCCCTAAAAATGTCACCATCTGTGCCAGGCAGACGTCAGAATGGTTTCTGATACTACAGCGACTACAGGAAATGGTTTGGGAATAGGTTGTTTTTATTGAAAACTGCCAACCTGAGAATAAATGAGCAAGGCAAAAAGGTGTTTTTCCTGGAGTTTCTCAGTTTTTCAAGAACTGGGGAAAGTTATTTTAATATCTAGGCTTTCATATTTGGACAGAAACATCCATTTTAACTTTCCACAGAAATTATACCCGAAGTCCCTTGAAATTTTTTACCCAAACATCAAAGTTACAATTTATTACCATAAGGTGTCCTCCAGAGAAACTGTGGTAAGCCATATAAATACACAAAAGAGAGAAGAAGAATGTAAATCCCTCTCTTTATTCCAACGGTGTTTTGCAAGAGCTAACGAGAGAAAAAGCTGTCCCTGGAAGGCACTTTGTAAGGCACAAAGAGTGCGGCGCTGCAGGTCAGAAATTGGTTATTTCCTCGCACATAAATCAAAATTGTTTTATACAACATTGTGAATACTCATTCATAACAAATTCTTATCTCTTCTGAGCTACTTCTAGTTTACCACCCCGCCCCCACGCCCTGACACACACGCTCACACTCACGCTCACGCACACACACCCACACGCTCTGACCTGCTGTTCCGGGGCCTCGCCTTTCATGAGACAGCGGACCTTGCTGAGAATGCACTGCTGGAGCTGGACCCAGGAAATGGCTCTGTCTTCCCTGATCAGGAATGGTGGCCCAAACCTGAAACTCCAAGGACGTCAGGTTATTATCTCAGCAAAGGAAAAGCCAACAGTACTCACAGCTGTGAGTCTGTGCCCCACGGACAGCCCCCCCACGGTAGGCGGGAACCCCGAGCACAGTGCACAGAGAGCCTTGCTGCACATGGAGGCGCCGAGGTGGGAACAAGGGCCCAGGAGACCCTGCAAGGTCAGCAGGCGGCTCCAAACGGTCAGCCGCTGGGGACTCCCTTCCCCAGAACAGCGCCGAGTGAGAGAACCGTGCAGCCAGAGGAAAGCCAGGCCGAGATGAACCCGGGGAGCCCGGCCAGGTGGCACTGCTGGCTTCGTGCACCAGGAACACTCTCGTACTGGGAAGGGTTTCCACACCCCACGCTGATGAAACACAGCCGTGGGCTCCTGATGCAGAGACCGCCATCAGCTCTAGCTCGGCCATGGGGAGCTCTGGACACATCACTGACCACTGACTGTCCTGGGGCCGCACCACACAAGGTTGTGTGACGATCCAGTGGGTTAAGAATGTGAACCCGTAGTATAAACTTTGCTAAAACAGCACCCGTCTGAGGTGGTGTGTCCGGACAGGCAAGCACAGAGACACCCTCTGCTGTGCGGACAGAGCAGTTTGTTTTCCTTATCCTCTGCTGTTAGGCATTCAGGTTGCTCCCCAAGTTTTATTGAAACAACGCTTGCTTATAACAGCAACTATGTATATCTTATGCATACACCTTTGGGTGCACATGACGAATTGTTTCCTTGGGATGAAGCTCCAGAAGTAGAAACGCAAGGCCACAAGCTGTTTATTCCCCAGCTACTCTCCAGAACAGCCGCACCGACGGAGCAGTGAGGCACGGCCCGTTCCCTTGCCAGAGTGAATATTAGCAATTTTTAAAAATTCTTTCACAGGCTCAAAGATGAAGGGCAGCATCTTGCTATTGCAACCAGAATTTCTTCTACCAGCATATGAAGCGGAACATTTTAACCCAAGTTTGTATTTCTTCTGTGAACTAATGGTAATTCCTGAGGCTTATTTTACTAAGAGTATTTCTCTCACTCAAGAGCTAGGTTTCATGTAATGAATCCTTTATCTGTCACATGACATCAATATTTTTCCTCTTTGTGCTTTGCCTTTCAAACTCGCTTTTAGTTCAAAATTGTAAACATTATCCTGTTCCTTTATAGCCCCCGACTTAAGTGTTAAAATAGCCATCATCCAAAGATATAAATATGCACCCAGATTCTCTTCGAGTTATTTTATAGTTTCCTTTACTATAATCACCTCTCTAATCAATCTGGAATTTACACATGTGAATTTATGGTGGAAGTAAAAAACTGATTATATAAAATATTAAAAGCAATCAATTAAGCCAGCATTATATACTGAAAAATGTGTTCACTATCTAGTAATATGAAATATACCATTTCTATCATATAATACTTAAATATACTTTGGCCTGTTTTGTTCCATTGATTTAAGTATCTATTCTTCTGCCTATATCACAATATTTGAATAACTAACAACATTCCATTCTGTTTTAATAGAACAATCCCTTTTCCTCCTCTTTCCCCCCTCCCCCAATATTTTCTGACTATTTTTACAAGTTTATTATTGCAGATAAATTTTACAAACATTTTCTCAATCTAAAAATTTTGACTGGGCATTTTAAACATTTTATTTGGACTATGAAAGCAAACTATCTGCTTTTGTGTATTGGTTACATAAGCAGTCACTTTGCTGAACGGTTTTGCTAGTTTCAATCACTTCCAACGTCTTGGTTCTCTGGACAGGCAATGACAGCATCTGCAAATAGTGGGAGCTGTACCTCTTTTCTTACAGCCAGTTTACTTGTCTTTCTGCACTGCCCAGGCCTCGGAACACAGGATAAAATAACAGTGGTGAGAGCAATCATAACGGTTCCTGAACTTAGTCAAAGAAACCTTTCCGTGTTTAGCTGTTAAGGACAATGTTTGCCATCTGCTGAAGGCAGTTATTTCTGACCTTTAGACTAGAAAGTACTCTATTCTCTACTCCTCGTTGATCAACCTTGAGAATGGATGCTTAATTTGATCACATGAGAATTATTCTAGACAGAATTCCAAGTGCATGTTTATACATCCCAGACATCGTGTAAAAAGAAGATGAAATTCAACATACCTGCTAGCCTGCTGCCCTGACCCCACCAAGTTACAGAAGAGGATTAGCACCTTGTTCTCCTGGTGGGCGGGCAGGGACCGCTGACCCTCACAGGCTGCCGCGCGAGGGGACACGGACAGACCAGATGGATGAGCTGAAGAGAGAGAACTACATGTGTATTCTTCAAGGAGCTGCTTTGCTGGGTCAAAACCCTGGCTTCTCTAGGCCCTCTTTTTCTTTGAGCATCTCTTAACCACTGTTGGGGGGCACCAGAGTGCTCTAGGGGAAGAGATACAAGGTTCACGGCACTTGTGCCGTCTGGCACCTGGCACACGTAGATCGTATTAATGGTAGGGGATTTGTGTTCTGTTCAGCCAATAGTTTAAAAATAAGGGCAAAGAGTTTAATTAAAATTTTTCAAAGCCAATCTGAAAAGTACTCCAAAATTATTTTGGATGTGTGGACAAATATCCACTCTGTTAGAAAGCCAACATAAGCACACAAAGAAGGTAAGAATCTTTACCCTTGAGGAAGTAGGGGAATTGGACTTTCCTCAGTTTCCAATCAGTTCTGAAAATCTGACTTTCTAGGCACAGATGTGTCACCTGTGACTGAATTTGAAATGAGGGCTTGTTTCACTGAGTTACAGCGTACACAGGGCCAGTTCATGTCTCGTTCCGGATTCCTTGCCCAGAGTCTCCCTGGTCCCCACAGACTGTCACCTAGGCTGGCTGAGGCTTTATCTGGGGCAGACAGTAACTCTGGCTCGGGGGCCTCTGGATGGGCCTCCTTGACTGGCTGATTGGGCCGGTGAAGACTGCCGGAAATTGGCCTTCTTAGCCAATCTAAAGTTTAGGAAACGCAAGCATCGGGAAGTGGACTGTTAACAAAAAGTCATTTAATAACCTCTTTGGCCATCTACCGCTCCAGTTAGTAAAAAAATCACTTTAAGCAGAGACTGTGAGCCAGAGGAGTTGGAACACAAAGATCACCCAGCACCTGCTCCGATTAGCGCCTTCAAAGAGTGGTCTCAGGACCCGCAGCATCAACTTCGCCTGGCAACTTGCTACATGTGCAAATTCTCAGGCCCCGCCCCTGGCCTACTGAATCAGAGACTGAGGGTAGGGCTCAAAAATCTTCTTAAACGGGTGACTCTGATACTCACCAAGGTCTTGAAAACCCCTGTATTAGTTGAATATTTTTAAATCATCAACCCAATGTCCAACAAATATCAGAGACAATAAGCATGATAGTTCCAAGTACTAAAATTAAACGTCTTATGTCTTAGTACCGAATGAGTCCTCTCGCAAACACTATTGTATTCAAGCACTATTGTACCTGTGAGTATCTCCTGGCCAGGCGGTGGAGGGGCTTGGAAGGCATACACGTTATCTCCCTCTGCAATGGAGTTCAGGTCCTCTTCATCAAAGAAAGACCGCTGGAGTCCACTGGGGCTCAGTTCAACCAAGATCACCTGGAATGAGAAGGATCATTTTCCATCTTGATTTCTCAAAGGGAACTTAACAAATAAGAAATCTGAAAGCAAAGGGAATAAGAAGTACAAATTGGCAGTTACAAAATAGTCATGAGGATGTAAAGTACAACATAGGGAATACAGCCAATAATATTGCAGTAACTATGTATGATGTCAAATGGGTACTGGACTTATGGGGATCACCTCATGAGTTATATAAATGTCTAACCACTATGCTGTACAACTGAAACTAATATAATATTGAATGTCAACTGTAATTGAACATTATAAAACTTTAAAATAATAAAATATGCCCGGGCCAGTGTGGCTCAGTTGGTTGGGCATTGTCCTGTGCACCAAAAGGTTGCTGGTTCTATTTCCAGTCAGGGCACATGCCCGGGTTGCCAGCTCAATGCCCAGGTGAGGGATATGCAGACGGCAGCCAATTGATGTTTTGCTCTCACATTGATGTTTCTCTCTCTCACTCTCCCTTCCTCTCTCTAAAGTCAATTTAAAAAATCAAAAATAATAGCCCTGGCCAGTTTGGCTCAGCGGGTGGAGCATCAGCAAATGGATCAATGAGTCACGGGTTCAATTCAAGTCAAGGGCACGAACATTGATTGCTATTCATCTCCAGCCCTGGTCAGGGTCATGTGGGAGTTGATGTGTCCCTCCTACGTCGATATTTCTCTCTCTGTCCCTCTCTCCCACTCTATCTGAAAACAAATAGAAAAATATCCTCTGGTGAGGAGTAAAAATAATAATAATGATAATAATAATATAAATGACTGATAGGCTTAAACCTCTCTTTTACCCTTTCGTTCCTTCTAGCTAGTGAGAAATACTACTTATTTTTAGTACTAAAACACAGTAGGTATAACAATTAGATTGAACACAGACATCTCAATTGCAACAACAGAATATCAAACTGCCCTAGGGAAAGGTGGGGGGAAGAAAGTTGAAAATCTAAAGTTTAATACCCAGCTAAAGTATCATGCAAGATGAGCATAAAATCTTTTTCAGATAAACAAAAAGTGAGAGTGTTTACCAATAACTTATCTCCACTGAAAGAAATTCTAAAGAGAACTGCCAAATTTTTTCACATTATGATATATGTAAAAAATACTGTTATGGAACACTGAGGTAAGCAGAAGCAGCTGGTTTCGCAGAGGACAAGATGGGTCACTGTCTTGAGGGCCCTGGCTGCCCCAGACCTCACTCTGTTGCCTCAAGGGCTAAAGGAATCGACATCCCAGCACAAACCATTCAAGGCACACTGGCTGAAAATTCTCTTGTGAAATATACATTTCAGGGTTAAAAGATAAAAACAAAACAAAAAACTGAACCCAGAAAGAAAACTTGAGTTTTAAGGAGAAATTATGAACCCCCAAAAAGGTAAACATTAGTAAATGTAAACATGCACTGACTCTATGAACCTGTAATAACAACTATACCACTACTACTACTACTACAACCAGGAAGGACAGTGAGGAGGGATTATCCATCTACAATATTTTGAACTTATATTACTGACATTTTTTTTCCCAAGACTCACCTACTGCCTTTCTCTCTCTCTCTTTCAGTAGATCCCCATAAAGCACTTTGAGTTTACAAAGCAAGATACACACATTTTTACCCACTTGAGGTCCTCATAGAATGGTCCTAGAGGTCAGAGGGATCGGCTGGTTGGGGGCAGGAAGAAACCCCCGGGACGATGGCAAGGCCCCGTAATCATGGTGGTTTACATGGATGTATATGCATTAAAAAGTTCAACAAAATTTAACCTTAAAACATGTACACGTTATTGTATGTGTGTTATCCCTTAACAAAAAGGTTAAAAGTATTTTTCAATTTGAAAAAAATCCCATGAGATCATCAGGGAAGCATTTTACAATAAAAGAAACAGGACCAATTAGTTTGTCCAGGGTCAGGAAACTAGAAAGTGACTGAATTGCAATTAGAATCCCATTCTGAGCCCTTCCTTTCATGACACAGTGGTTCTCACCACCATCACCTCTACGCTGTCCTTTCACGGTGGGGTGGGGTAGGGTGGGGCGTGGCGCATTATGAGTTCTGTTCTCCAAGTCACAAAATCCAATCTCTTTCCCAAGACTCTTTTATTTATTTTTTTTAATTTGATTTTAGAGAGAGTGGGAGGGAGAGGGAGAAAGAGATAGAAACATCAGTGAGAGAGAACATCGATTGGCCGCCTCCTGCATGCCCCCAATGGGGATTTGGCCCACAACCTGGGCATGTGCCCTGACCAGGAATCGAACCGGTGACCTCTTGTTGCATGGGTCGACGCACAACCACTGAGCCACACCAGCCGGGCTCCCAAGACTCCTTTATAAAAAGTAGAGCATAGCCAATACCACTTTGCCCCAAATCTCTCCTCTGGTGTTACATACCCTCAGTTCCCTCATATTTATTGTCCCTTCAGTACCCTGGCTTATATTCTCGGGACTGAAAATATGGTGACTGAGGCTGTGAAGTCAAACCAGCTGTGTTCAGCTCCTGGCTCAGCCGTGTGACCGAGGGTAAGTCACTCAGCCTCTCAAGGACTCTTCTTCGCTCACTGGTAAATGAGGACAACCGTAGTCTCTACTCCCAGAGATGTGAATGGCTATGACTATCACGTCCAGAGAGTAGTGCCCAGCACTCTGTAAGCACCACTGAGGGACAGTCATTGTGGAATTACTGTAATTACAACCGTCACCATCTTGGACATAAAGATAGTGCCCTTTTCTGGTTATTCCACATAATTGCCTGGAGAGGGCAAGACCTAGCCACCAGACACCAGGAACCACTAATCAGACGGAAACGCATGAATCACCCCGGAGTCACCTGGGAACGAGAAATTAGCCTAAACCACCTAGACAGCTGGCTCAGTTAGCATTTCATCCACCAGCGCGCAGGCCCCAGGCAATTCCATCGCACCTCGTCCACAGGGACACTGCCTTCCTCTGCCACCATCTTCCTCAGGGCTGCCACCGTGCTGAGGATGGGCACGGCCAGGCCAACCCGCAGGAACCGCTGGCTCTTCGAGGGGAAGACCACGGTGATGCTCAAGAACCTGAAAAATAGGAAAGAGCCCACATCCTCAAAGGACTGACATGAACTGTCACCAACATCATTGACACTTGGTCACATTCAGGCTTGGGCTCATCTCGGCTTCCAGGTCGGGCCACTGCATTTCAGGTACACCGTCACTAGGTGGCGCCGGAGAGCCAATTCTCCGAAGGTATCAGCTGGGGACTTTTCCAGCAAGTTAAAAATAAAAGGTATCTGATTAATAGTCACAATACAGATCTATGAGCTCAAGGTTCTGTCTGATAAATTGATCGTCTTAACCCAAAACAAGCTTTGAAGTTGGTTTGAGAAGAGGTCAAGCTTCTTCTTCAGTGTGAGTCAACACGACGGATGCTGCCCTCCTTTCCTTACTGAAATCCTCCCCTGGTGGTGACAGGGCGCTTCGCTGGCCCCACGTCCTACCATCCGCACCAGCACACCAGGCCCCACTCCTCCGGCTCCCGTGTGTCCTGCTCTGCACTGCAGTAATCACCCAGTGCACACAGCTAATGACTAGGGCTGGGATTCGAACCCAGGAGTCTGGCCCCGGAGGCAGTGGTCCTAACCCATGTGCTATGCTGCGTCAAGCCAGGAATCTTAACTCACACCCACCAGCAGACATCACCTGACGGTGTCACTGGAGACAGGGTAAGCCTGTGTCTGTTTGCAGCACCAACTATTAGCAGCCCAGGAATTCGGAGCAGGGGACCAACATGCCGGAAAGGCTTTACGAGGCCGCCGTGCCCTCGGCTGCACCCGAGGATGGGGATGTCAACAGAAAGGAGAGAAATGGTATTTACAGAGGTGGGGACACAGGAAGAAATGCCACTGTCTCGGTGCCAGTGAAGGCACCCCCTCCGGGAGCTGAACGCCCTCGGCGCTGACCTTGGCCAGAGGCCTACGGTCACCGTGCGGCCGCGGGCTGCTGGGAAGCCTGCACCATGCGCGTCTCCTTTCACGAAGCTGGACCCCACCAGGCTCTCACCCAACCCCAACTCCTCTTTCATTTTCTCTCTTCTCCTCCAATCACCCTTTTCCTTTTTCTTTGCTCCTTAGGTAAACCTTTTTCGATACCTTCACAAAAAGGAGAAAGGAGTGGAAATGAAGCACGGGAAAGCAGGTGGTGACCGATTTTCCCATCTGACCGAGTGGTACCCATTGGCCCGTGCCGGCTCCCGATGGGCCAAAGACATAAGCTTGGTGCCGACAAACAGCAGCACTGTGTATAATTCCTTCTTCGGCTGAAAAAGGGACACAGTAAGGTTTCACTTTGTCACCTTCGATAACTGAATGTCCCCCAGCTATACGGCTGGTTTCTAGAGAAACACTGACTGCGAAGCAAAAGAAGAGACAACTGCACATACAAGGCCAGAAGGCTCCCAGGGAGGAGGAAGGAAGTCAGGGTCCCTGGGCACGTCGCGCACATACCTGGTCTGGCGCAAGGGGATGGGCAGAGACACACACAGGAAAGGATCGAAGGTGTTGCTCTGTCTCAGGCAGTGAGGACAAGTCAAGGAAGATCTGTGAGGGCAAAAGAGAGAGATGAAAGTTGAATCACACTTAAACAGTTTAGTGGTTGCTTGGGAGGTTAAATACAGAATTACCATTGCCATTCCACTCTTAGGTAAATACCCAGAAGAACTGAAAATAGGTATTCAAACAAATCCTTGTACCCAAATGCTCATAGCAGCATTCTTCACAATTGTCAAAGGCTGAAAACAACCCAGATAGCATGTGAAAAAAATGGAGTATGCCCACACAATGGACTACTATCCAGGCATGAACTCCAACACCTGCTATGCGGAGACTGAAACGTAGTCCATTATGCTAAGTGAAAGAAGTCAAGCACAAAAGGCCACATATTTTATGATTTCATTTACAGGAAATATCCAGAATGAGTCAAGCCACAGGGACAAAAAGCAAATTGGTGGTTGCCAGGTGCTGGGAAGATGGAGGATGGAGGATGGAGGATGGGGAGTGACCGCTTACTGGGTACCAGGTTTTCTTTGGAGTAATGAAAACGTTTGAAGTAGAAAGAGGTTGTGGTTGCACAACAGTGTGAACATCATTGCCACTGAATTATACCCTTTAAAAGTATTAACTTTGTGTTCTATGACTTCCACCTCAATTTTTTTAAAGGGAAGAAGTTTAATCGCACTGCATTTGTGCACTGAGTATGGGGAAGGAGCGAGTACCCTTCCAAGCAGAAACTTAGGGTACCACCTTTCAAGCGGGGAGGCCAGGACCGCCTTTCCCCTTGGTTCTCAGTCTCACTACCCCTCAGACTCACATGGGAAGCTTTTCTCTCAAATGTCCAGGACCTACTCCTAGAGATGCTGCGTCAAGGAAAGCAGGGAGACGCACAGGCTTCAGAATATAAAATCCTCCCCAGGCAACACTAGTGTTCGGCCAGGGAAGAGAGCCCCTGATGCAGTCAGTCCACCCTCCTCATTGTGCAGATGAAGAAACAAAGTTCGGAAAATCTCAGTGAATAGTAACAGTTGATAATGAAACAGCATTTACTAAGAACTGGGCATTGTGCATATCTGAACCCGTGTACTACCCATAAAATCCAGGATTATCCCCACTTACAAAGGAGAAAACAGAAGCACAGAGTGGCTAAGTCACTTGCCCAGGGACACACAGCTCGAAAGGGGCAGAGCTTGGCTCAGGTTCCAGAGTCCGTGCTCATCATCATTCCTGCAGAGTCTTTAGTATAAGAGAGTGCGGCACCAACAGCCTTAGAGTCTGCTCTCACCACGGACAGCCGGTGGGTGAGCCTCAATGAATGCATAAAACCAGGGTTCCTGGCTGTCTGTGCGAAGCCCCGCCCTGCTTGACGGGTTTTCTGTTGAGCAAACAAAATAGAAAGAAAGCGGGGACAGGCAAGAAACCCTGAGGTTTTCCGAGTGCTGCCCAGGCGACCCAAGAGAGCCGTGCATAGCAAGTCGCTCTCCGGCTCCGGAATACAAGTTAACAGAAGGCCACCCATGACTTAGAAGAGAGACCCAAATAGTTACCACTCTCACGCTCACTGCCTCTGATAAACCGCTCTTCCAGAAAACCACGGTAATGGTTTGGTCAAAAAAACTGTAGACATCAAGCTCCTGCCGTCAGGGGCACCTGGCATTGTGGGGTCTCCTCGGCCCCCCGTTTCCCTCCCAGTTCTTCCACCTTCACCCTTCATGTACCCAACCACAACAGAGGCCTGAAGAATGTATTTCTGTTGTTGGAAATTTTTCATATCCCTGTTTCACATGTACGTGAACAAATGAAAAGAAATATTTTTCTTTGACTTTCTTTTTTTTTTTTTAACCAACTAAAACTAAGCTAGGCTGCGTTTTGCTTGTTGCACTGCGTCATATTAAACTGGCTCAAGAGATAGGCTTTATACCAAGCCACCAACCTCTGCCAGGAAGCAAGAGATGTGCAGATTGGAAAAAACATCCCAGGGTCTAGTTTTATCTTTAAAGGGTGAAGAAAACATAGTGCTTGCACAACACACCACAGAAAGCATGTGAAATACACCTGCTTCTCAAAGCAGGTGCGAGAAATAAAACAGAGTGGGGCCAACAGATCAGGGAGAGAGGGCAGTGTCACATTTACAGAAAACCCCAGAAGTTACCAGGCTCAGCTCCTGTCCTAATGTTTCCCGAACCGCACTCAGGGGAAGGGGCAGAAAATCACCCCCTGCCCTTGGGCGTCCACTCACCCATCTCCCCGAGGTGCTCATTCTCCTGTCCCACAGCGTGTTACAAAGCCAGCTGGTCAGCTGCCACCGGCCTCCGCGGGGCTCTTCGCTTCCCCCCGTTACAGACGCCGGCAACGACCCCCAGCTTTTACACCACACGGCTCCTGGCTCTGGCCTCTCGGCTGCCAAAGGCACACGGCACACGGCACACGAGGCCAGCTGCACCTGCTCACCGGCCATTGGAACTGGTGTCTACACCACCAGGATAACCATGACAACACGTAATCAGGTGCCGCCTCTCCAAGGTCTGTTCTGCCTAAAAGGGATGCTGCCTAAGAGGGGAACCGGACTAGACTGTCTGCGAGTAAAGCTAAGAAGCACATGAAGAGAGAGAGAGAGAGACACACACACACACACACACACACACAGTCCCTCTTCCAGCCAAAACTCCAACAGAGCAACCATCCTGGGTTATTAAACTAGTAGATGTTTTAGTCTGTGGTCATCACCATATACAAATGGCTGATGATGGTTCCTCCTAGTCCATATCTCCAGCACCCAAATATTCTTCCTCCTTCTGTCCACCAGCCTAAGCCCCCTAAAAGGGGGCACGCGGTGGAGAAGGGAGAACCTCAGTGAATAGGAGTCTCTCAATTAACTCATAACACCTTTTCCAGCTCTCAATTTTATAAAAAAGGCTGACACCAGGGCAACTTCCCACCCCAGGCAAGCCCTTCCAAGCAGGGAGAGAGGCCGAGACTGGCCAAGCAGGCACCTCCACTCAGGGGTGCCAGCGCCGAGCGGGCCCCCATTGACGCTACAGGAACCCGCTGCTCAGACCTGCAAAGCCCCCACCTGATGGACATCCCTCGCTGTGATTTTTTTTTTTTTTTTTTTGCTATAAATTATCAGGCACAAAGCAAGTATTTTCAGCAGTGATCAGTACACTTTTTGGCATGAACACTTAGCTTCTTACTCATCATCCTACAGTAATCTACCCAAAGGGCAGTAGGAGTCCTTAGTGTCTGATGGGCTCACACGTCAGTCCCTCAGGAATCCCCTCCTGACCCACCCTGCGCGGGGCCGGTCAGGCACTTGTGATATTGTGACTTTAATAAGAAACACATATTTGGTCTCCATGCCTGCTCCTGGCACAGAACTCCTAAAACCCTTCCAATTTCCTGATAACCGCAAGAACAAAGGTGAGAAGGAGCATCTTTCATTGTCCAGAACGAACCCCTTACAAGCGCATCTGAGTTATATTACTGAGGTGACTTTTGGAAAGCCCCTAACAACACAGGATGGGGCTGGTTGCCAGGGGAACCAACCACGTGATTAGATGGAACTTGCAGCCCCCACCACCTGGGGAGAGGAAGGGAGGCAGGTTCTGAGTCCATCACTAATGGCCAAAACTTTAATCCATCACGTCTATATAATGATGCCTCCAGAAGACCCCAGCAGAAGGGGTTTGGACAGTGTCCAGGTTGGTGGACATGTGGAGGTGCTGGGAGGTGAGGGTGCCCCAAGGGGCCATGGAAGTCTGCACCCCCCACACACACAAACACACCTTGCCCTGGGCAAACCTGCCATCTGGCTATTCCTGAGTTGTATCCTTTTATAATAAATCGGTAACCTAGTAAGTAAATTATTTTCCTGAGTTCTGAGTATTGCTCTCAAACACTATCAACTCTGAGGAGGGGTCGTGGGACCCTCCGATTTATAGCCTGAGTCAGAAGCACAGGTGACAACCTGGACTTATAAATGGTGTCGGGTGGGGCAGTCCTGGGGCACTGACCCTTAACCTGTAGGGTCAGATGCTGTCGCCAGGTAGACAGTGTCAGAATTAAGTTGTAGGACACCCAGTTGGTGTCCCCAAAGAACTGCAGAGTTGCTTGGTGTTGGGAAAACACCCCCACAGCTGGTTTCAGACGTAAGTGTGGTCAGTAGTCAAGAGCAGTGTAAGGACACAGGAGTTTCTTCCTCGTTCACACCTGTGCTGTGTACTTCAAAGCACCCCCCAGACGTGCCTACACAGACACCCAGCCATCTCGGTTCTCACCTTTCCTTAGTCCCATCAGCAAGTCCTGTTACTCGACACCCACACGTCCCCTCCCCACCCGCCACCCACTCTCTCCATCTCCACCACCTCCTGCAGGGTCCCAGCCACCATCATTCAGGCCATCTGCCGCGGCCCCAGCTCCCCGTCTGGCCTCCCTTCAATGCCCCTAACAACCAGTGTCACCTCTTGAATCAATATCTAGACCACACCCTGCTCTAGATTTTGCAGTGGCTTCCCGTGTTCTTGACAGCAAACCCCACACTTGGACTGGACACCTGCGTCGCCACCCCAGTCCTCACTGCCTGGCAGCTCTCTGTGTCTGGAACTTGCCAAGATCATTCTGACCCCAGGCCCTTTGTCTCTGCTATTTCCTCTGCCTGGAATACCCTGTCCCCAAGTATTGGAATGGCTGACACCCCGTCACTCAGTTCTCAGCTCAAATGTCCCCTCTGAAAAGAAGCCTTCCCTGACCACCTTATCTGAGGTTGGCTGCCTCCCCCACATCCCAAGTTCCGCCTTATCACTTCACGTCTCACTGTGGGAGCTATGTGCCGAGGTGCACCTTGTCTAACCCTCCCCACCGCACGTGAGCTCCATGAGAACAGGCACCGGGGCCTGTTCACAGCTCCGTCCCAGCTACTGGAAGAGAGCCGGGCACACAGTAGGGGAGCTGTCTGCCGAGGTGTGTACTGTCTAACACCTCCCCACCGCACGTGAGCTCCATGGGGCCTGTTCACAGCTCCGTCCCAGCTCCTGGAAGAGAGCCGGGCACACAGTAGGGGAGCTGTCTGCCGAGATGTGTACTGTCTAACACCTCCCCACCGCACGTGAGCTCCATGGGGCCTGTTCACAGCTCCGTCCCAGCTCCGGGAAGAGAGCAGAGCACACAGTAGGGGAGCTGCCTGCTGAGGTGTGTACTGTCTAACACCTCCTCACCGCACGTGAGCTCCATGGGGCCTGTTCACAGCTCCGTCCCAGCTCCTGGAAGAGAGCCGGACACACAGTAGGGGAGCTGCCTGCCGAGGTGTGTACTGTCTAACACCTCCCCACCGCACGTGAGCTCCATGGGGCCTGTTCACAGCTCCGTCCCAGCTCCGGGAAGAGAGCAGAGCACACAGTAGGGGAGCTGTCTGCCGAGGTGTGTACTGTCTAACACCTCCCCACTGCACGTGAGCTCCATGAGGCCAGGCGCCGAGGCCTGTTCACAGCTCCGTCCAAGCTCCTGGAAGAGAGCCGGGCACACAGTCGGCATGAATGAATGATCCAGAGAATAAATGGATATATTTAATCAGCATTTCTCTTCCATGGGTAAGGAATTCTGATGCTCCTCCCTGTAACCGCTGGACCCAGCACAATGCCGAACACTCAGATGTTCGACAGAAGACCAAAGGGAGAGTGTGCGTAGACAGGAGGGGAAGAGGGCAGAGAGAACGCAGTCAGCAGAGAAATGAGTGAACGTTGTGCCAGGACACCAATGAGCAGCACCTGGTGGCAATTACTGGTGACCCTCCCCTGCTCTCTTCGTGTCCAGGCCTTATCCTCCCTTTTCCTTCCTTGGTGTCTTCTTTCCCCTCCTCTGATCCTCCTTTCCTGTCTCACTTTTGTCTCGAGCCTGTGTTTGGGACCTGAAGCGCGTGGCTACGAAGGTCAGCAGCCGTGAAGCCAAGGTTTCCCCTGTGCACACCTCTCAGGAACGAAGTGGCCTCTCCTTCTGCACAACCGTGAAATTGGGGCTCATTCAGAAGAGATTTTAATTACCCAATGTGCTAAGAACCGAGGGCAGGAGTGAGTGCCCGTGGTCGCCCCTCCCTGGCGGGGCAGGGCCGGAGAGAACTTCTCCAGGGCTGCGGGTTTTCCGCTCCAGGGAGAAACCACGTTGGCATCTGTCCCCCGCGTCTCGGAGACTGTCAGTTCGTCCTAAACAAGCCGCCTCCTCGAAGGCAGTGATTGTGTCCAGTTTACGTGATCGGCTATTGCAGAACATAAACCCTGAATCAAGAGAGTTTCTGGGCAATTTTAACTGATCGCCTCCTTCCCAAACACAAAGAATGCAAGTGCCCCAAAAGTATGGGAGTTAATGGATATAAGTAAGGGAATTCTAGAAGACGGGATAATTGTTCATTGGTTTAAAGCAAATAGGAGAAAAAACCCAACGGGAGGCCTATGAAAAGCAGAGCAGAGCCAAGGAAAAAGAGTGTCCAGAAGACTCAGAGAAAACCACAGCTTTGAAAAAGATTTACTACAATACCCAGAAGAAAGAGTTTAAAAACAGCGTGGTGTCCAAAACAGAGGGCAAGAGGGCAGCTTCCGGAAGCCGCAGCCGCACGCCACTTAGGACAAGGGGAGGCGGGAAAGAACCGGAGGGAAAATTACAAAGACAGCAAAAGGACGTGTGCTGCAGAGAGCCATCAAAGGTCAAGCCCTGGTCGGCCACTCGCTAGGTGTGAGCTCCGAAAAGCCCGGCCTCCCAGGTTGGCAGCTCCTCTCCGGAGGCTCCTGTTAGGACTACATCCGAAAATGCACGTATGGTGAGCAGGTCACTCAGCGGAGTTCTAACAGGGCGTTCACTTGGACCCTGGTCATTGTGCGCGTTCCCACCTCTAAGTGCGCTGCTTGCTTGTTGAATCCTACTCAGAGCCATCCAAAGGCACCCTCCCCCAAAGAAACCCTCCGGGGTTTGTCCCCTTTCTGACCTCTCACTGCAACTAGTGTTTTCATGAAAAGACTGTAATACCGTATGCTAAGTGAAATAAGACAGACACCATATGATTTCACTTACATGTGGAATCAAAAGAACAAAATAAATGAACAAACAAAACAGACTCATAGACTCAGAGAACAAACTGATGGTTGCCAGATGGGAGGGTTTTGGGGGAGTGGGTAAAAAAGGTGAAGGGATTAAGATGTACTAACTTTAGTCACAAAATAGTCATGGGTATGTAAAGTACAGCATAGGGAATATAGTTAATAATATTGTAATAACTGTGTATGGTGCCAGGTGGGATCACTTTGTAAATTATATATATGTCTATCCACTATACTGTACACCTGAAATTATTATAAAATAATATTGAGCCCTAGCTGGTTTGGCTCAGCGGTTAGAGCGTCGGCCTGTGGTCCAGAGAGACCCGGGTTCGGTTCCTGCTAAGGGCGCGTACCTCGGTTGCAGTTTGTCCCCGGCCCTGGTTGGCTCGTGCAGGTGGCAGCCACTCGATGTGTACCTTTCACGTCAATGTTTCTCTCTCTCTCTTCCTCTCTCTCCCTTCCAAACTATCTGAACAAAAAATGAAAAAATGTCCTTGGATGAGGATAAAAAAAATAATAATAATAATATTGAATGCCAACTGTAATTGAAATGTAAAAAAATAAGTTAATAAATAGCTTCTAAAAGTCTGAGATGGAATAAAATAATGGCTTCATATCTATACGAAAAAAACAACAACATTGCATTACTTGAAAATATTCTGCCTTATATGAATCTCTGAACTATCATATATTAAAGCACAAGACCTTTTCTGAAGTTAAAGACTGTGTAATTATAAATATTTTTTTATATCCTCTAGAGTGCTGGGAAATCTTGAACTCATAACAACATGTTAAACTGGGCTCGCTGGCTCTAAAGAACAAACAGGAAGGGCCTCGTCCAATGACTGCCTGCTGGGGGGGTCCTGGCCTCCACACTCAGTCTGCAGAACTGCCCTTGCATCACCCCCCCCTTCAAGGGGGGGAAGGGAGGCCCAGACACCGGCAAGGAGGCAAAGGAGAAATACTTAAGGTCAGAAGCCACAGGAGTGGGTGGTTAATTGGGATTTATAATGGGGGAGAGAAGGGTGTTTGTGGTGTTGTTGCTTGGTAATCTCAGGGTGAACCTGACCATGGGAGACTGGTGCCCAGCACATAAGTGGCTGAACTCTTGGGTGACTCGAAACATCCCATTCTTACCTGTACTGTGCTTGAAAGTGGCTTTGCACAAAGCTTTGACCTAGAGAAGGCTGAGGCGATGGCGACAGGTGGTTCTCAGAGGCTTTACTGGCTTCAGGCTGAAGCTGCAAAGAAATGAGGAAAGGAAGCAAATTAACACACCTCCCATCACTTCCCGGCTCCCAGGCATGGGGTCTGGAAGCAGGTCATTTAGCTGGCTCAGAGGGTGAGTAACTCACCGGCTAAGTGGCAGTGCAGGGACTAGAACCCAGACAGCCTGGCTCTAGAGGGGTGTCAGTCCATCCCTCCTTATCCTTCTTACAGCTCCTCCTCTAGTTCACCCCGCCGTGACTGGGCCACGTGACCCCTTTCTGGGCTTGGACTCTGCAGAACCTGGACCTTCAATGCGGCCTTTACCATAATCCCTTGCTCCCTCCATCTCTTGACCCCCCAAATTCCCTCAGAGAGAGAGTGAATTGAAAGAGCAGAAGTGAAGCATGAACCTTGGTGAACACTCACCCAGACTCACCCAGCCTTGACTACTGCCCCTGAATTTACTACTCTGTCCTTTACCTCCATCCTGCTGGGCCTCGTGTGCCCAGATGCCTCTGGTACACCTCACTGGGGTGTGCTGCCGTGACTTCAAACATGTCCGCACCCAAGTTTCCCTCTACACCTTTCTGTCTGCATCTCCCAGTGAGCCGGCCTTCCCGTGACCTGCACCTAGCTCACACAACCCACTCTGCACTGTCGGTTAACGCACAAGCCTCCTTTGCTCCAGTGAGTTCTATCGCACCCTTGCTTGCATCCCTCTTGCTTATGTTCCTGTTGTCGCTGTAGCAAATGACCACAAACTGGTGGCTTAAAACAACAGAAATCTAGTGCCGCACAGCTCTCAAGGCCGGACATCCAAAACCAGCATCACCGGCCCCCAACCAAGGCGTTGGCAAGGCCGCACGCCCTCCGACATGCCTTGCCTCTTCCAACGTCTAGCGGCTACAGGGATTCCGTGGCCTGTGGCCACGTCACTGCCGTCTCCAAGGCCGGCATCTTCAAAGAGCCAGGGAAAAGGAACACGTGACGACGGGTTTGGGGTGAAGTATACCAATGTCTGAAGTTTAATTTAAAATGCATCAAATATAAAATGAGGAAAACAAAGAGGGGATAATGAGTGAATAGAAGGATGAATAGATGGATAAATATGAGATAAAGCGATTTTAGTCAAATACAAATTACAGAATCTAGGTGGTAGGTATGAGGTGTTCACTGTATACTTAATTCAAGTTGTCCATATGTTTGAAATTTTCCATAATGAAATAGTGGGACAAATAAAAGTGATAAATCCTCAGAGGGGCACTTGTACCTGTCCCACTATTTTATTAAGCCCAATTTGATCAGAATACAGGATATGAAAGGGAAGCAGAACGGCTGGGGAGGGAGTCTGGAGCCCCACGGGGTGGGGTCTTCGATGTCCTGAAGAAGACAGTTCCGTCAACGGCTTAGGACCAGAGTTAAAAATTAACCTCTAGAGTCAGACTGTCTGGGTTCCAGCCCCTGCACTGCCCCTTAGCTGGGAGGGTTACTCACCCTCTGAGCCAGCTAAATAACTTACTTAAGCTCTGTGCTCCAAGGTTTCCCAGCTGTAATAAAGGGATAATGAATGACAACACCTATCTGATAAGAACGTCTTGAGAGTTAGAGTTAATACATATAAAACACGATGACAGTGGCTGGCACGCAGTGAGCACTGTTTAAGAGGCGGGGGCAGCTGCTGACACACAGCGGGGAGTGTCTGATGGGCTCGGAACCCAGGGGTGGCTACATGCGCGGAGAGAGGCTTTACTGACAGATGTGCACAGGAGGGAGGAGGGTATGTCTGGAGTGAGGACACAGACTGGGAGGCCCCGGGGTCCAGTCACGGCAAGGGGAACTACAGTAGAGCTGTAAGAAGGGTGAGGGATGGACTCAGACACCTGTGTGCATAGCTCATAAATGAGCACCTGCTGGGGGAGCAGAGGGAGAAAAGGGAGCAGATACGTAGGACCGACCCCAGCCTCCAACCTGGTGCCTGGAGGATGCCTGTCCATCAACAGTCAAAGTGGTGGGTCAGGGACGGGCGTCCGAGTCTGAGAGTGAGCCACATCCCGGCACAGACACTGACAGCAGATAAACAAGGGCTCAGAGGACAGAGGACTTGGATGTAGGCTGGGTTTGGGGCTGACCGGGGCTCACTCCTCTTCTCGGCAGTAGTACCCCTTTTGGAGCATTGACTCCAGCCCGTGGGGAGGTGGGCAGGGCTCTCTGATGAGGGGTCCTGCTCTCCCTTACCAAAGGACAGGCACGTGGCCCAAGCTAGGCTGAGATGACCCCACCTTGCACCGGAATCACCAGCAGAGTGATCAAAAGGCTGAAAACAGTGATTCTCGCAGAATCCCGGCTAGAACAGTTCTGCCACTTAGACAAACTCCAGAGCCATGTGGTTCTGGCCGGTTCCAAGCCTGGTTCTTCAGCCTTCCGTGTGGTCCCGCCTGCCGCCCCGTGGCCTTCCCGAGTGCCTTCTTGTTCGCGTCAGCTGCACACGGAACAATGACGCGGGCTGCTTCTGTGTGGAGGTGACAACGGAGCACTTGAGAGCGGCAGGGGGCGAGTCACCCAGGGGTGGGGTGTGGAAAGAGAAAATCCTGAGGGAGGCTGGGGTGAGGCAGCAAAGGATTACTCACTCACAGAGCTCGGACCCTGAGCTCAGGCCGGGCTGGCTCCAGGTCGCCCAGTGGCCCTGAGCCTGTCTCTGAGCCTCATCCCACATCTACAAGGAACAGGCTTATGCCATCCACCTCATGGGGCCATCATTACAGTAAAAACGATGACGTGTGCACCTGCCCGGCACACAGCCGGTGCTTAACGAATGTTCGCTTCCTGGTCCTCTCCCCACCTCATCCCCTTCTCAATTCTATAAGAAGGGTGTTTTCTCTAAGATAAAACTGCCAAAAGGATTGTTCGTGTGAGGCCCTCAATAGGAAGAGTTAAAAAAAAAAAATAGGCCCTTTGTGCCAGGTGAAAACATTTGAGAATCATTCCAGTTACAGAGAAGAAAGTGGTCCTTATGCTTTCTATTCCTTTCAATAAATCTAGCTACATGGCTTTTATATGTTTTGAAGCAGAAATAACCTCAAAAAGAACAACTGTTCAGAGTCACGCAGAGGACAGCACCTTTCATTCTTGGAAAGGGACAATGAAGTTTCCTGCCAAATCATCCCAGCAGCTCGGGCCCCTCCCTCCAAGCTCCCGGTGCCCAGGCCTCCACCGGCGGCCCAGTTTCTGACGGCAGATTTCAGCGGAGGCTTTGACCCCAACAGAGAAAATGATCTTTTCTGGTTCCAATCAGATCAAACTAAGAGCTGGGCAGGCTCCTCTCTCTGGCCAACAGTCTCCCCTGTCCTTGCCCAGCCACAGTGTACTCTTCACACTCTTGGCCCATTAAAGCAACACAAAGGAGCCAGAGTGGCCCAGACAATGAGTGAAGGGCAGAGGGCCTGGATCAGGCTGAGTGGTTGGCAGGCCCAGGCAGGCAGGGCCCTGTCAGCCACACAGGAGTTTGGATTTTGCTCTAAGTGCCACAGGAAGCCACCAGAGGGGTTTAAGCAGAGAGTGGCATGATCTCAGTTCCTTTCTGGAAAGATCACTCCAGCTACAGCATGGAGAATATATAACAGTGTGGCGAATATATAACAGTGTGGCATATTGGAAACTGGAATTATGGCTGCTTCTACATGGGTCTTGAAGTTGTTAAAAAGAATAATCTGCAGGTCCTCTCAGCTTAAATAAACTCAATTACCTTAAAGAGAGGTTTGGTTGAAACAAAGGCTCTCACCAGAAAGGGGGGGAGGTGCTTCTGCCAACCAGAGGACATTTGACAACGTCTAGAGACATTTTTGGGGTGTCAACCACAACTAGGGGTGCCATCGGCATCTACTGGGTGAAGGGATGCTACAATGCACAGGACAACCTCCGCAACCAAGAACTGCCCGGCCCCGAATATCAAAAGTGCTAAGGTTAGGAAACCCTGTTCTAGAGTTGTATTTCCTAGATCAGATCCTTGCTCTCCCACTTACTTGCTGTGTAACATGGGGCAAGTTATGTAACATCTCTGTTGTCTTGCCTTACCTGCCACCAAGGGACAAAGAGGAACACTGAAAGGCAGTTGAGAAGGCGACTGATCCCTCCTGCGTTCCAGGCATAGCCAGGGAGCAGGAGAAGGGGAACTGGACAAGAGGCCGACAGAAAGGCACGGCAGGTTCCTTCGCGCCCTCTGGCGGGGAACTGAGAAAGCACAGACACTCATGATAAGGTAAGGATGCAGCAGGCTGGCTTTGAAATAGAAGGACTCAGATTCAATTCGGTTTCTCCAAAGTAGAAGGTGAACGACACTGGGCAACTCAACCTACATCCTGTTAGCTATAAATTAGGAGCGATTCTTACAAATATTAAAGCATGATAATAAAACTACTCAATTTATTCAACCATTCAAGAGCTTATTGAGTGTCTGCAGTGTGTCAATAGTAAAATAAATCATGAAAAGCATCAAATGAGATAACAAATATTCAATAAGCAGTTTCTTTTTTCTTTTTTCTTTATTTTTTTTAATCCTCACCCGAGGACATTTTTCCATTTCTTGTTCAGATAGAGTGGGAGGGAGAGAGAGAAAGAAGAGAGAAACATCGACGTGAAAGGGACCCATCAAGTGGTTGCCACCCGCACAACCAACCAGGGCCGGGGACAAACCAGTTTCTTTTTAAAAAAAAATACATCATTCTGATTTCAAAATGTGTTCACTCTAAGATTATGGAACACACTGTGTAGTGGACAAGTTTATCTGCTCAGCATTCTTTTCTTTGGGGAAGTAACCCAGCCAGAACCTAAGGAAAGTTCTCCTTGGCCATGCAATTTGGGTGGAGTTTACGCCCCCTTGAGACACACACACACACACACACACACACACACACACACGACTCGGGTGTGCCCAGTCAGAATATTTCATTCTACAGACCACCTGCCCTACAATGGACATATGAACCGTTCTGGGACAATCACATCTTCCCTGGGCTTTTTCAGAAATCCCAAGCTCTGAAGAGCATTTAAGCATTTCAGGGACCCCTCTTATCACCATGCGGTCAGAGCCAGTCGGAGAATGAAGCCAGAGACAAGAGATAGAGCACCAAGGACCTGGTCACACCATCTGAGTACTTGGATCCAGCCTTACCTGAGGCTGGTCCAACCTTTTGACTTGCAAGTTACAAAAGACAATAAATGTCCTTTCCTTGAGTTGAATCATGTTAAATTTCTGTCAATTGTAACTAAACGGATCTAAAAAGAGAAATACAAAAACAATGCACGTAAAAGAAAATTCACCCATAATCCAACAACCCCAGGAAACCACTATAACCTTTGAGTGTGTGGTCCCAGGTTCTACTGTGGTGCTGTTTTTGCTTTGTTTCATTTACGTGTTTTGCAAGTGACTGGCGTGGTTCTTTTTAAAATAAGAAAACAGGCCTGGCCGGCCAGTGTGGCTCAATGGTTGAGCGTTGACCCATGTACCAGGAGGTCGCCAGTTCGATTATCAGTCAGGGCACATGCCCAGGTTGTGGGCTCAGTCCCAGTCTGGGGGTGTGCAGGAGGCAGTCAATCGATTTCTCTCTTATCAATGTTTCTATCTCTCTCTTTCTCTCCCTTCCTCTCTCTCTCTCTAAAAATCAATAAAGAAAAAAATTTAAATAAATAAATAAAATAAGAAAACAGGCTTTTAAACTAAATCCCCCCACCCCCCCTATACTTGAATCCTGATTTGGCCCTCCTTTAGCTGTGTTGCTTTGGGAAAATTACCCAACCTCTCTGTTGTTACCCATCTATAAAATGAGGATAATAACCCTAGCACCTCTCCATAAATGGCAATAGTCACTTATACTGTATTAACACTCCAGGATGTAATCTGAGGAATACTGGGTACGTACAACCATCTTCTCCCTTGTCCCATGCCTCCAACAACCTGCTGCCCGGGGCATGAGGACCGCTTTGGGAGCTCCGTCAAACTCTTAGCTTTTAATTGTATTATATTGTTGTTTAAAAAGGATTTTTCTTCTTTGAGACATATATGATTGTTCTCTTTCTTAAAGTTGTAACATGCCATTGTAAAAGAGACAGAAACAGAGATAATAGCTGGCTATGGGGAAAGTTAAAAATAATGACTCAGCTTCCTGAGCCACTCGTTATTTTTCTTTTTAAATAAACATCGTGTATCTTTAAGGTGTACAACATGAAGACCTGGCACACCCCCACAGTGAAATTATTACTACCATCAAACTAGCAATAGCATATCCAGCTCCTCAGTTACATTTTGTATGTGGTAAGAGCACCTGAAATCTACTTTCCTAGCAAATTTCCAGTATTTTTTTTTTAATTTTTTTTTTCTTTATTGATTTTTGAGAGGAAAGGAGAGGGGGAGAGAGAGAGAAACATCGATGAGAGAGAACATCGATTGGCCCCCTCCTACGTGCCCCCCACTGGGAATCGGGCCCACAACCCGAGCATGTGCCCTGACCGGGAATCAAACCAGCAACCTCTTGGTGCATGGGTCAACACTCAACCTCTGAGCCACACCAGCCGGGCAATTTCCAGTATTATTAACTACAGTCATCCAGCTCCCACTGCACATTAGATCTCTGGACTTACTCATCCTACACGACTGCAACTGCCTTTCATTCTTTGTGACTTGAGAATACGGGCTCGGGGCAAATAATGAAAGGATGGGAAGGTGACGGTTGAAAGACTTAAAGACTTCCAAAGGGTGTTTTAATGGATTCACAAGTGTAATGGGAATAAAGTGTCCAGATTTAAAACAAAAAAAGGTAAAGCAGGTCTCATAGCTGCATCTGGGTCAGCTTCGAGACACATGAAAATAATGTGTGACTGCCCTGCCGGTTTGGCTCAGAGGTTAGAGCATCAGCCTGCAGGCCAAACAGTCACGGGTTTGATTCCGGTCAAGGGCACGCACCTTGGTTGTGGTTCGGCCCTGGTCAGCCTCAGGTGGAGGCACCAGTCGATATGTCTCTCTCATGTCAATGTTTCTCTCTCTCTCTCTCTCTCTCTCTCTCTCTCTCTCTCTCTCTCTCTATCTCCCTTCCTACCTCCCACTCTACTTGAAGATAAATGGAAAAGTATCCTCAGGTGAGGATTTAAAAAAAAGAAAAGAATGTGTGACTGATTATTATAGCTTGCAAACCATTTTTCAAATTACAGCGGCTTATTCATGGACATGGTTACAACTTGGCTCGCTCATGGCATAATAACTTCCCTTGCTTTGACTTTCTGGACTGAGAGAGAAAAGCAGAGCAGGAGAGCAGAGCCCATCATCAATCTTTATTGGCAAAGCCCACAGAGAACACAGCGAGGCATCCACGAACCGTGGCTATCACACACAACTGCGGTGCTTTCTTACTCCCAAAGGCTTGGGGTTTCACCACCACCTGGGAATGCTACGCACACACATGTAAAGATCATCCACCCCGTGTCCTGAGACAGAAAGACTGGGAATCCCGGCTCTGGCGGAGGCGGAACTGAGAAAGCAACAGTGGAGTTAAAATGATACCATCTGAAAATACGCAGTGGGACTCGTGGCTTCAGATGAACACACTGATGCACAGAATGTTGACAGAAAGGAGATTTTTCCAACGTCAAGCCGAAAGGAAACCCGTGTCTGTATCAGTGGGACCAGAGAGAAGGAAGCCCTGCGGTGCAGGAGCCGTGTCTGCAGACAGCGAAGAGGAGGCGCGGGGCCTGCCCCGTGGCGCACGAGCCAGCCCACGCAGGAACGGAAGGAGCTGAAGTTCAAGGTTCCGTTTTTGAGGAGCGGAGTGAACACTCACGGGAGCGAAAGAACAGCAAATACAAAGTGTTGTTTTGAGAGTGACTGACCTTCTCGGACCCTGGCCCTCGGGACGAGCCCTCCAAGTCTTCGTGCACGCGATCCAGCAGCCAGAGCAGGAACTCCAGGGCATCGTGCTGGGCGTTGCCTTGGAACTGGGCGCTGTACTTGGAAACAGCATTCTAAAAGGAAAAAAGACAACCGGAGGGTCATCTTGGCCCTTCCAACAGCCAAATAAGGGCCGATTAACGCCAGGTGTACCAGTGGTCACTGTCACCTGGGATGACAACCTGGAAACAATATGGGGCGAGACATGGTCTTTCCTGCCAACGTCTGCCCTTTTGGGGCAGCGTTCCAGAGGCTCTGTGGGTGGTCTGGATAGGAGACGGCAACGTTTTCCCCAAAAAGACTGTGTGTCCTGTTCTGTCCTTTGAAAACCCACAGGGTGGTCTCTGTTGAGTACAGTGATACCTCGGTTCTCGAACATAATTCGTTCCAGGAGGACGGTCGAGAACCGAATTGTTCGAGAACCGAAGCAATGAAACCCAATAGGAAAGCGTGACTCCACAAAGCGTGACTCTCTCTCTGCACTCACACTGATGACGCAAGCAAGGCGCGCTGGGCCGAATGAACGCCATTCGGCTCAACTCGGCTCATCTCAGAAGTTCGAGTTCCAAATATTTGTTCGGATTCCGAGACAAAAGTTTCTCGAATCTCCTGGTCGAATACCGATTTGGTCGAAAACCGAGGTGTTCGAGAACCGAGGTATCACTGTATTTTTATTCTGTTGACCATCTGTCCTCCCTTGGTCACTGGTACATGCTCCCAGCTCCCCTCCGTCAGTCTATTTCCAAGCCGTCTCCCTGTGTCCGCCCCGCAGGTGAACAGCTGCTTGCCTTACCCTCTCCCCCGCGATGTCCTTCCCTCCCACCGCTTCATCTCTCTTTGGGAGCGCCCCCTGGCACAGTGAGGTGGCCTTCCTGAAACACCGTGCATTAGCTCCTTGCCTGCCTCTGCTAGTGTGTGTGGAATCACAGTGCACACTTCTCTTTCTGTGGCTGGACCACAGAACGATCACTTTCAACCTTCACTCCTTTAGTAGATATTCACTGAGCGCCACCACGTGCGCTGCGAATACAGTGAACGAGACAGGCCGCCTGCTTCCAGGACACTCACATTTCCCATTCCCTGTCCCTTTGTACTGTCCTGCTAAACTGTGTAACCACTCTGTCATTTTCTGTGTGAGTGCATATTCCAGCTTTTAAAAAGGATTTCAATGGGTAACATATGCATATACTTAAAGAAAAAGAATTCAACATATTTTCAAAAGGACAATAATGGAAAGTCTTTCTTCTACCTGTCCTTAATCCCTGTATACCCCTCTCCAGAGGGAGGCCGCTCTCAGCAGTTTCTCAAGCCTCTTTCCAGGGATTTTTTTTTTTTTAATGCATGAGCATCTGAGTGTAAGCGAACCCTCCTGCCCTTGGATGTGCACACAGGACACAGACCGCATCGCACCCAGGTCTGTTCCCTGCTCACCCCATCAAAGGCAGCAGTCTGAGCAAGGCTGTGGACCCACACAAACCTCTCCACTGCCAGTCAAATCCAATAACCTGGGCTCTATTCTTTTTCTTTCTTTTAATCTTTCCTTGGAATTTAAATTTTTTTTTTTTTTTAATCCTCACCCGAGGACATTTTTCCATATTTTGTTCAGATAGAGTGGGAAGGGGAGAGAGAGAGAAACATCAACGTGAAAGGGACACATCGAGTGGTTGCCGCCTGCACGACCCAACCAGGACCGGGGACAAACTGCAACCGAGGTACATGCCCTTAGTGGGAACTGAACCCAGGTCTCTCTGGACCGCAGGCCGTTGCTCTAAGCACTGAGCCAAACCGGCCAGGGCCTTTCCTTGGAATTTAAAGGAAACTTTAGGATGAGATGAAATAAAGTTCAAGATTTAATTAGTTCAAGTGCTGGTGCTGCGTCTATGTTGCAGCCACACTGATCTGGTTCCCTGGAGGGGCTAATTTGGACCATCTCCTCCAGTTTCTGTGCACTTTGTAGTGCTGCCAAATTTAGCGAATAAAATGAATCATAAGCAATAAACAATAAATAATGTTTGTAGTATAAATATGTCCCGTGCACTATTTGGGATATATTTATACTAAAATGTTATTTTTATCTGAAGTTCAAATTTAACTGGGCATCATGTATTTTAGCTGGCCAAGCCACCCCGCAGCCACCTTCAAACCTATGTCCTTAGTACCAACATTCTCTCCTGGGGGAGCTCCCGGCCCCTCCAACTCAAATTCTCTACAATCACACCCACATGCCAGTGTCAAGCATTCTGAATTCTGCTCCCAAATTGTTTCTGCTCAGTCCCACCACTGAGTCCTAACTACTGCTACGCACCTATCGACAAAGGGGTCCAGCCCCAACGATCTCCCCTGCCAACCCACTGCCTGCAGGGCAGAACAGACCCGTCTTCCCCAAGTAAGAGGTTTTCCTCAATTAACTTTCATACTTTTTCATAGCTGGGTGATACCAGGCCCCTACTCCAAACACTTCCTGACTCCTTACCGCCTAGTCTGGCCACATCCCTGTCTCTCTCAGCTCTCTCGTGTGTTCCAAGGCTCCAGGTCAAAGAGCCACTCAGGTGCCCCAAACATATTTCCCCACTTCAAAAATCTATCTTTCGCCCTGGCCGGTTTGGCTCAGCGGTTAGAGCATCGGCCTGCGGTCCTGAGAGACCCGGGTTCGGTTCCCGCTAGGGGCACGTGCCTCGGTTGCAGTTTGTCCCGGGCCCTGGCTGGGTTGTGCGGGTGGCGGCCACTTGATGTGTCCCTTTCATGTCAATGTTTCTCTCTCTCTCCCCCTTCCACTCTATCTGAACAAAAAAATAGAAAAGTGTCCCTGGGTGAGGATAAAAAAAAAACAACATTTATCCTTCTTCCTCCCATGTGAAATCCATTCCCCTTCTGCTAATCATGTCAATTCTTTAATATTGATACTCAAGTCATACACCCTTTCCAGAGAGAATTGGCTAACTTCAAGACGATAGGCAAGCTGGGGCCTTAAAAATGTGCCTCTATAAGCAACCCTTGAACAACACAGGTTGAACTGCACAGGTCCACTTTTACACAATTTTTTTTTCATTTCAATACTGTGTTGTTTTTTTCAATAAATACTCTGTGTGTGTGTGTGTGTGTGTGTGTGTGTGTTTTCAATAAATACTGTATTTTCTCTTTCTTGTAATTTTATTAATATTTTCTTTTCTCTAGCTTACTTTATTGTGAGAATACAGCATATAATACATATGACAAAATATGTGTTGATTGACTGTATGGGTAAGGCTCTGGTCAACAGGAGGCTATTAGTAGTTAAGTTTGGGTGGAGCCAAAACTTACACATGAATTTTTAACTGCAGGGGTGACAGGGAGGTCAATGCCCCAACCTCAGAGTTGTTCAAGGGTCCACTATAATTCCACTTTGGGGGATTTAGACTAAGAAATGAGAAATGCAAACAAAGATATTTCTAAGTAAGTATCTTGGGGAAAACCTGTGGCATTCATATTAGATGGCCTTAAAATTATGCTTGGGGCTCCTGCTGGGTGGCTCAGTTGGTTGGAGCGTCGTTTCATACGTACACCAAAAGGTTGCAGGTTCAATTCCAGGTCAGGGCACACACAGAAGGCAACCAGTCAATGTTTCTCTCTAACATTGATGTTTCTCTCTCTCTCTCTCCTTTCCCCATTCTCTAAGATAAAAGTAAAATAAAATAAAACATATCTTCAGGTGAGGATTAAAAACAAAATTAGGCTTGAGGAAATACTAATGAAAAAAAAAAAAAACAATCCTGTCATTTAAAAACAAAGAATGCAAAAATATCTATTTGACATTGTTTATATATATATATTTGTAGATAGATAAAATACCAGAAAATATACAGCACAATATTAAATGACGGTCATAGACGGATGGGACCATAGGTGGTTTTTTTTCATTCTCATTTGTATATGGCAATTATTTTTTTTACAGTGAACTTTGTTCTTCTTTGGTCTTTTCCCAATTATAACAGTATCTGGCAGGTGTTTTCCAGAATTTTTAAAATAACATGACCTATCAATTCCTACAGAGGGCATTCCTATAGAAAGTCTACTGAACTGTGACTAGAGCTACATTAAAGTTAAATCCTAACCGGGAGGAATGAACACACATACTTGGCATTTCTACCCTACAGCATGGCACCACTCCATCCGTGTGTGTTTGCTCTTTCTCAAAAACTGGTCATTTTTAACATATTTCTTATTAAAATTATTCCTAGTTATTTCACAGTTTTGGTTGCTTTTATGAATAAAATCGGATTTTTATAATGTTCTCAATGGTTATTGCTTTTGACTTTCTATCTTGTAACTGACCTCATTAGTGACAGTGGTAATTCTAAAATATAGTTTTCTAGAACCATTTGGTAATTTTCTTACTGTTTCATCATTTTTACTCCATTTCCATTTCATGTTGTACTGTTTTGCAAAGAACTTCCAAAGCATAAGAATGATGAAGGCATCCTCATTTTCTTTTTATTAATTAATTTATTTTTTGTTACAGATGTTTCTCCCCGCCCCAGACATCCTCCTCCGGATCCTGCTCCCCCTCCCCCGATTGTTGTTTATGTCCACTGGTTATGCACATATGCATATAAATTCTTTGGTTTATCTCATCCCTCCCCTACCCTCATTTTTTAAAAAGCAGTCTCTCTAGTATATCACTGAGGCATACTATGGCTAAAATCATAAGTCTAAAATCGATCCGTAAGCACATAAGCTACGATCAATTCCAGATGGCTGAAACTCTTAATACAACCAGAGAAAAATTAGAAACATATAAAATGTTTATCAAGTGTGTGACATAAAGAAATCTAAAACTTCCAGTATCGGGATAGGAAGAAGGAGAGTTTGGAGAAAACGTTTTCAGGAAATATGACAATGGTTGAGGAACTCATAGAAACAAGCAGACAACATTAAGATCAAGGCAGAGCCAACAGACAACTGACAAACAGATAATTCCAAGAGCAGTCTTACAACTAGTTAAGAAGGGTGGAAAAATCCTATATGGTACTGCTAATAAAAGAAATAACCAAAGCCGTAAAAGCAGAGAATAAACTTCAGACCAGTAAAAATAAGACCGGCAGACCTAACACACAATCCAGTGATTATAGACAACAAAACTGTGCTATAAACATTAAACTAGCTAAGAGACTGGATTTTAATTGTTCCCAACACTAGAAGAAATAGTAATAATTTGATGTGATAGGGATGTTAGCTAAGGCTACTATGGCAATCATATTGCGATATAAATGTATCAAATCAATATGTACAGTGGGCTTTCCTTATCCTTGGTTTTGCTTTGCACATTTTCAGTTACACAAGGTCAACCGAAGATTGAAAATATTAAATGGAAAATTTCAAAAATAAATCTGTGCCCTGGCCGGTTTGGCTCAGCGGTTAGAGCATCAGCCTGCGGTCCACAGAGACCCGGGTTCGGTTCCCGCTAAGGGCATGTACCTTGGCTGCAGTTTGTCCCCGGCCCTGGTTGGGTCGTGTGGGTGGTGGCCACTCGATGTGTCCCTTTCACATTGATGTTTCTCTCTCTTCCTCTCTCTCCTTCCCGCTCTATCTGAGTAAAAAATGGAAAAATGTCCTCGGGTGAGGATAAAAAAATAATAATAATAATAATAAATATGTTTAAAAAAAAAAACACAATCTGTAAGTTTGCAATTGTGCTCCATTCTAAACGGTATGAGAAATCTAGCACTCTCCTGCTCCATCCCACCTAGATCATGAACCATTCCTTCGTCCAGTACCTCCCCACTGTATGTGCGCCTGCCCGTTAGTCTCTTAGTAGCCCTCTATCAAATCGACTGTCTCAGGGTCTCAGGTCTTGTGTTCAAGTAGCTCTTGAACCTAAGGCTATGTCCCTCACAATGTTCACATCCCTCACTTCAATTCACCTGATCAGGTAGGGATTTTATCATCCCACATAATCACAAGAAGGGCGAGTAAAGTGCAATAAAATATTGTGTGCATGAGAGAGAGAAAGAGAGAGAAACTACATTTACATAACTTTTACTATAGTATATTGTTATAATTGTCCTGTTTTATTACTAGTTATTGTTCATCTCTTATGGTGTGTAATTTGTAAACTAAACTTTATCATAGGTATGTATATATAGGGAAAAACATAGTATATATAGAATTTATATATGCAGCTTCAGGCATCCACTAGGGATCTTGAAATCTATCCCCTGTGGATAAGAGGGGACTACTATACACCTTAAACTTACACAGTGTTGTATGTCAAATAAAAGTCAATTTTTAAAAATCAGTACATTTCACTGTACGTAACATATCTTAATAAAGTTGATTTAAAAACAAAACAAAAAATATAAAAATAGCAAGTTATCTTTGTTTTGACCCTTCAAGAAATTAAGATTATCGAAATGAACAGAGCTAATTATTTAAATATAAGGATTTTTTTTTTTTAAGAGAGAGAAAGGGAGAGAGAGGGAGAGAAAAATATTGATCAGCTACCTCCTGCACACCCCCTACTGGGGACTGAGCCTGAAACCAGGGCATGTGCTCTGAGCAGGAATCGAACCAGCAACTTTTCAGTGCACAGGATGAAGCCCAACCATCTGAGCCACACCAGCTAGGGCCTATAATACAAAGATTTTGAATGCAGTGTGGTAACTGGAAAATTGTACAGTACATAAATGTTTTCACAGGGATTGGTTCATTTAATAAAATATTATACAATCAATAGGAATTAAGTTCTGTAGAATATTTTAATGACCAAGAGAAAGTCTTATAATAGTTTTTAAAAAGCAGGTTATGAAACTAGGATTTCCAGTTGTTTGTATATGCTTTGAAAAACATCAATGTTTATGATGATTATCTCTAGAGATGGTTATCTCTAGTGGAGTTTCAGATCATTTTTACATGTTTGGACTTTCCAATTTTTTTATAGCATACACATGTTTAATTACATCGTTACAAAAACAAAGTATTATAGATAATACAGGATATTTTTTCTTTTTTAAATCCTCACCCAAGAATATGTTTCCATTTATCTTCAGATAGTGTGGGAGGGAGGAGGAGAGAGGCGGGGGGCGGGGGAGAAACATCAATGTGAGAGAGACACATCAATTGGTTGCCTCCCGCGTGACCCTGACCAGGGTTGGGGACAGAACCGTAACAGAGGTACATGCCCTTGACCAGAACTGAACCTGTGATTCTTTGGTCCAAGGGCTGATGCTCTAACTGTTCAGTCAAACCGGCCAGGGCCATAAACAGGATATTTTAAATATATTTATTCATTTGCTGTTAAAACAACAAGTGGCCCTGCTGTCTGTGGGAGTCTGGGTGACACAGGGCTTAGGAAGGGGTTGGGTAAATCACTCCAGCATTCTGGTCCCTTCTCAATTTTCTCCCTTCTCCTGTCTGAAGCGACAAATCCCTCCTGAAGACCAAACTTCTTTATAAAACCTTATGTCCCCAACCAATTCTCCAGCCTCTCACCCCCAATCACATAAGCTTTCATTAATTCATTTAACCATTCATTTATTCTGCCTAGCTCCTCAGCCCCACCCGCTTAGTGATTGGCACTTTCAGTTCCATGTCCTTAGCTGACTCTTGTTCTTCCAAAACTCAACTCAAAGGTTACCTCCTGGGAAGCCTTCCTGCCCCTCCCCACTCCACCTACTCTAGTCAAATCACAGCCTCCTGCCAGAATGGCCACAGTTGCTTGTATTTTTATTTTTTAGTACTTGCCACCAACCCTAATCATGTGCCTGTGTGATTATTTCATTACCACCCATCTCTCTCATAAACTGTAAGTTCCTGGAGGGCAGCCCCAGAATCAGGTTTTATACTCATCACTCATGTATTCCATGAGCCTGGTACAGTGTCTGGACACTCAAGAAATAGTTGTTGGATGGATGAATATTTCTCCATCTGTTAAATAAGAGGAGCTCTCCTAGATTTCAATCAGCAAGGTTTAAAACCCCGGATTTCAGAATCCTCCACTCTCTCCAAGGCTGGCTGCCCAGAAAGTCCCAGGAAACCCAAAATTATGTCTCCCTCATTGACATTAACAACTTGATTACCCTTCTATTCCCCGAGGCTCGCGGGGAGCTTCCAGGCCTTTGGGGTTTTGGAGCAGGCGAGAGAGATAGGAAATCCTGGTGAGTCACCAAAGGTGATTAGTAATTTGGAAGATTTTTTTCAAGCTACTCTCAGAACCTCTCCTATCCCTGCAGCAACTGGATGAGAATGCATCTGGCATGAGAAAATTACACAAAGGTGACCTTCCTCTCTCTTTCTAGGTCTCTGCAGGTGAGGAGGTATGATGATAGACTAATAAAAAATTCCTTGGGGCCAGACACTGTTTTAAATGCTGTACCTATAACTCACTAAACTCCACAAGGCTATACTTCAATAAGGTAGGTATCATTATGGTCCCATTTCACAGATGAGGAAAGTTGCTCAAGGTCACAAAGCTCCAGAAATCTTGCTCTCAACCACTATAGGATACTGCCTCTATTTAAAAAACAAATGTTACCAAAAAATATGTATATTAATGATGCCAATTTGACCCACTGATTCCTGCAGCACAGTGCTTCACTGGCGGAAGCAGAAGAGAGGAAGGTGGGGCTTGGCATCTCCGTGGGTCACGTGGCAAGGATTGCTTTCTCAGGCTGAAATTTAAGAGCAGTGATGCTTGTGGAATGAACACTGACAGGTTCCCCCCTCCCCCAAGAACAACAATCACTAGTCTATGGGGAGCTTCAGCTCTCTACCCAGAGCTGTGGTTTTTTAGCAGGACGCAAACCATGTGCATCAATTATCAGGAACTTTTGAATCCAACGGGGACCTCAAACAAATGCCCCAAAGAAACCCTCATGACCCTGCAGCATCCCCGGTAAGTAGACCGTGATCCGGGGGACAATGGATGCAACCCTAGCTAACACATCCTAGGGGATTTAATTCACACTAAACAAAAGGATGCCACCTCTGATACAGCACACCCACTGCCTCTCCTGGGCACTCAGCACAGTATCTGGCCCACCGGTCCTCAGCTTCCATTGAGCTTAGAATAAAATCCAAATTCCCCACCATTGCCTCCAAGACCTTACATGCTCGGGTCAACCTTATCCGCGCCCCAGTCTACCCTCCTGGGTTCCAGCCACACTCGTCCTTCGGTGCCTCCAATTCTCAGCTCCTTCAGGCCTATGCTGCTCCCTCTAACTGGGTTATTCCTAAATTTTGGCCTGGCTGAGTCCTCATCATTCAGATCTCAACTCAAGCATCACCTCCTTCCTCCAAGGCCTTGGCCTTCAAAGTCCGACTCCCCACCCAGCACCCTCCAAATCCCTAGCGATAGAACATTGCCTGGTCCACAGGCTTCCCACAGATGCCGGCTTGGGGGGAAAAAAAGCTCAACACACTATTCAAATCTGCCATCTCCCTCCATTCAACCCCTTAAAATACCTGGGGGGAATTAATTCATGAAGAAAACGTGTGCGAGCTGTGGCACCACAAATCAACTCAAAACAAGGGCGGCAACCCGCGGCGGCAATGGTAAATGCCATCTAAAGAAAGCTCCGGGAAAACCCTTTCCCGAAGGAGCACACACTTTTCAAGAAGCGAAAGCAGCAGGGCCGGGCCGAGGCGGCCGCCCGGCGGCGAGGGCGCGGGCGCTCCTACCTTGAACTCCGCGGAAAGTTGGGGCGTGTATTCGCGGGTCCAGAGCGCGCGCACGAGCGCCGCCAGGTGCTCGGTGACCTCTGCGCGGCCCGGGGCGGCCCGGTAGCGCCCAAGCGCCAGGAACTCGGCCAGCAGGTCGGTGTTGCTGAGACACTGCACCACGGCGTTCATGAAACAGGTGTTGCCGTGGTTCTTCAAGCCCTGTGCGCCCGGGGGCCGCGCCCCATCGCCGGCGGGGAGCTGGGGCTGGGGTCCGGGCGGGCGCTCCTCCTCGGGGCTCCCGGACGCGGCTGGAGTCGGGGCCGGGGCGCAGGCAAAGCCCCCCTCACCGTCGCCATCGCAGTGTCGCGGCTGGGGCCGGGGTGGCGAGTCCTCGGGGCGGGAGCGGCTGCCCAGCGCCAGCAGGAAGCGTCTGAGCAGGCGGCGCAGGGAGCGGCGTCGGCGGGGCCGGGGCGCGGGCGGCCCTCCTCCTGCCGCGGCTCCCGGTCCAGGCTCCGGCTCCATAGCTCCGGTGGGCGCACCCCCGCGAGCGGAGCCCGGGCCCCAAGCGGACCAGCCGCTAACAGGGCCTCCCAGCCCCAGACAGGCGCCCGGGTGCAGGCTACCTGCGGGCCAGGTGTGTGGGGACTGGGCGGAGGCGGGGCCGAGGGCGTGGCCACCCCGCCCAGCGCGGGAATCCGGCCGCAGGTTCCGCCTCAGGGCCGCGCGGGGCCAGCCACCCACGCCCCCGCGGCAAGGACTGGGAATAAAATACAGAGGGGCGCCGAGTTCACGTGCCCTCTCTTTTACCTCCAATAAACCAACAGACCTGAATTTAACCTCTACTCCTTTTCCCTCCCAGCCCTCAAGCTGTGGATATCAGAGAGGAATGATCAATTTGAAAGCGCCTAGTAAATTGCAAAGTCCCGGCTATTTCTGAATTTCTTGTAATTACGTCCAGGTGAGTATGTTGAGAAGGGAAAGGAAGACCCTCCAAAGGGCACGTGGTGAGAGACGCGCACTGAGAACTGGGAAGGGATGGGGAGCGCTTTTGTGCACTGCAGGGTCCTCTGCGGGCTCAGGTGTGTGCCCACAGGGGGCGCCACTTCTCCAGTCCGTCCGGTGGAGGAGGCAGAGCCTTTAACCTGACCCGCCAGCCTAGGACCAGAACTGGGAGCCGCGTGTGGCCCCGCCTGCAATAACCGAGATTGTTATGGTTTGCTTTTATTAAACTATAGACATGGTTGGAATCATTTTCCAAAAACTTGCGAGACTTCATCATCCTTGCTTTAACTGGTGGAGAAACGGACTCAGAGTGCTTAACGCAATATAGCGAGGCCATAAAACCCTAAGCAGAAAAACCTGGATCTCTCCCTGGGTCTGTGGAATGCCAATCCTCAGGAGCTGGCCCTTTCCAACCTGCCACAGTATTTGCTTACCAGGAAGTTTTCTGGATCTCAGACGCGCCCCCTGCGGGGTCACAAGCTCCTTCCTTAACACAAAGTCCTTGCTGAATTGTTGCCCAATCAGAATTCAGTGGGCCTTGCCCGGCCCTTGATTCCCTGAGTAACTGTGGGACTGGGCTCACTTTATTCTGTAACTGTCAGGTTTATAATTAATCAGGCAAAGTCTTGCAAAATGAATTTGTCATCGAGCTAGCTCAAAAAGAGATCAGCAGTATGCATTACTGCATCAAGGCCCTGAACTGTTACTTATTATAAGTGATCACCATTTATTAGATATCCACCTTGATATATCAAATAGGCAGCAGCAAGTCACCAGATGCAAAAAAAAAAAAAAAAAAAAAAGGAGCATTTGTTAAGGATAAAGAATATACTTAGAACAAAAGACTGTGCACTGGGGCCTCTGTGTTTCTGGAAAATATTATTTACCTTCTCTGGGAAAGAATATTCTGTTGGATGATCAATACACAAGATCCAGTCCCTTGCCCTTCTGATGGTAAGCACAGGAGAAAGATTTTATGGCCAACTCCAAAAAAAGCACCTGTGAAATTTCATCCTTGATAATCACCCCAAGATCCTCAAAGACACACATTTTCTTGTAGAAAGCACTGTAATTCGTGTTTAACTCTCTCTCTGTCGGGAATTCTGCCAGTGCTTTAACACACTATTTCACTTCATTCTCACAGTAACCTTTGGAGCAGGAATTTATTCGTTACAAAAGAGTGGCTCAGAATTTAAAAAAATAAAACCAACCTCACATTCAAACCCAAGTCTTGCCACCCAGCCCTGCAGCTTGACCAATGAAATGCTGATTAAGAAGGTGAGCCTGCCTTCCTTATATTTAGATATAAGCAAAGCTGTCTGTGGATGTATCATGAGGAAGGGCTGTGGGTTTTGCAGGGTCCTAGAAAAGAGATTATGACAGGAAACCAACAACTGGATGTTTATTCATAATAAACAAACAAAAAAACTGAATTACAGTTCGGGCAAATTATTCTTGAACATATTTCAATTTTAATATACAGTTTAAGAATGTCAGTTCTATAAAGGACAGGAGAAACTTATAGTCAAGTATTTTGACTAAAGAACAAAAAACACAGATGTGAGAAATCAAAACCAGTCTTGGATGATCTCAGTGCCACAGTCAACAGAACTGTGTGCGATGCTCCGGACAGGTCTCTGCTTCAGGAAGCAAAGGGGCATTTCCACCGCAAAATGGCTCCGTCAGCGCTGACACTGATGATGTACTGGTTGCCGGGGCTTATCCGGAGGCGCCGGATGTTGCCACTGTGTCCCACCCCAACGTGAGTCACTTCACCCTCGTTATAATCCCAAACTTTGACCATATGATCATTTCCACCTGCAAAAGACATTTATATGGCATTGCTATAATAGAACACAGAGAAACAGCCTTGATTCCAAGTAACTGGAGCATTTTCAATACACTTCCCCTGGGCCAGCTTAAAGGAAGAAAAACCTGTCTTTGTAATAATTCCTTTCCTTGATTATAAAAGTCTAGGTCTGGCCCACCTGGTGTGGTTCAGTAGTTGAGCGTGGACCCAGGCATCAAGGGGACCTGGTTCAATTCCCAGTCAGGGCACATGCCTGGGCTGCTGGCTGGATCCTCAGTAGGGGGCGTGCAAGAGGCAGCCAATGGATATTGATGCTTCTCTCATGAATGTTTCTATCTCTTTCTCTCCCTCTACCTACCCTCTCTCCAAAAAAAATCAATAAAGACATATTTTAAATTTTATTTTTTAAAAAAGTCTAGGTCTTGCCTGGCTGGTGTGGCTCAGTGGTTGAGCACCGACCCATGCACCAAGAGGTCACAAGTTTGATTCCCAGTCAGGGCACATGCTCAGGTTGTGGGCCCAATCCCCAGTGGTGGGCATGCAGGAGGTGGCTAGTCGATGTTCTTTCTCCCTTCCTCTCTCTCTAAAATTAATTAAAAAATTTTAAAAAATTAAAAAAATAAAACATCTAGGTCTGTTGTAGTAAATTTGAGGGGCAAAAATACAAAGAGGTGACATCACCCTTGATCCCACCACCCAGAAATAACCACTAATAACATCTTGGTTTAGTTCCTGCCAGTCTTTTCTCTGTAAGTGTGCAGGTATACATAGACACCTGGGTATGTGACTGGGATCACACCATGTCTGCTTTTATATCTTGTTTTCAGTAAATGTGTTTATGAAACTTTAGTTCATTGGGGGCATTTAATTGTTAATGTCCTGAAGAATCACAGAGCCTGGCAGGAAATGATACTGATGTTGTTCCAATAGGCGTGTTGTGTGGTAAATGCCCCCTGGAAATACTGATAGAGAAGCCTGGCATTTAAGACTTCAGCAGGAAATAACAGAACAAGGCACAGTGGACAGCCCAGGCAGTTTAAAGGCTCATTTCCACCACGGAGGCCCACCACAAAAAAAGCCAGCCATGTAAGGCTTAGCTTTTATTTGTACCCCTAAGGCTCCTAGGCAAATGTTTCCTTTCACTGAAATGTGACTTTTGCATTTTTCTTTTCCAACCACACTGGCTGCAGTGCTCAGGCCTGAATCAAACCACGTTGCCTTTTAGACCCTTTTGCGGTCCCTTCCCATTGCCTCCTGCCTGAGAGTTCCGTGCTCCTAACTAAGTGAGCCAGGCTTTCTTTTCTGACCCCAGGACTAACCTGTGACAAAGTGCACTCCTTCCAGTGAGATGTCCATGCCATTGATTGACCCAGACAAGGAACCTTCCAGCTCTCTGATTACTGACCCATCAAATACTTCCCAGTAGGCAATCTGGAGTCCAGAGAGAAGCGTTAGGCAGGATTCGGCTCAGTGGACTCATCCACGCACATGCTAACAAAAGATGGTTTTACTTTATATAGAAAGGAGCAAAAATACATCATGGGATGATACGCCGCCTGAGATTATAAATAGGCTAAAGCAGAGGGTAGAGAAAGCACTTCAATATTTTTAGTATTGGTTATGAAATTTGCATTCCATCTCCAGAGATGTCGATATGCTGGAAACCCAGGCAGTGCTTTTGATGAGACACAGCAGACTGAGTCTGAAGGGAGCTGCCAACGAACAAGGAAACAGCGTTGCGTCCACATCCACGTCCCCACTTCTGCTCCCCAAGCAGGAGGATGAAGGTGAAGCTCCTGCCTCGCGGAGGGGAAGGCATTGCCCTCCTGCAGCTAGGAGAGTGAGCCGTCCAGAAAGTCCTGGAGACGGCCTTACCAAGTCCCCAGCTGACTGCTGTCCCATTCTCTTATTCCCAACTTTCTCTTCTGCCTCAAAGCAATTGGCTTTGCACAGGGTGGGGTTTTAAAGCAAACTGTTACTATCAGTCACCTCCTGGGGAGGGAACCAGGGTAGGGGTGGGCAGGAGCTCAAGGAGAGACATTTTTCTCTGAGTGTACTGCTTTTATCTTGTTTGAACTTTGAAACATAAATATACAGCCTATTCGAAACTAAAATTTCTTTTTTTTTTTTTCCCCCTTTTAATTTATAGAGATCCAAGATCCAAGTACTGGCCAATTCAGTTCTGGGTGAAGCCTCTGTTCCTGGCTTGAGAGAGGGAGAGAGACGGAGAAAGGGTAGAGAGGTGGAGGGAGGGAGGGGTAGGTAAAGGGAGAGAGGAAAGGAGGAGGGAGAGGCAGAGAGAGAGAGAGAGAAAAGAGAGAGCGCACTACAATGTCTTTCTAAACAAAGAGCACTTGACCAGGAATCAGGAGTGTGAACTGGGCGGGTATTCCATCCTTCTCTCTGTTTCATGTTGATGGAAACTTGCTGTGTTCCCATCATTACGCCGGGATTCTGTATTCCTCCGAATCTAGCGAGAAATCGTGCATGAGAGAGAGATATGGCTGCATGATTTCATTTGATGCTTGGTCGCTGTAACATAAAGTTCTGCTTTCATTGTCAAAGCATAAAGAGCTCTAAAAGCCGCCAAAGTCCTGTTTCTCAGGAAGCACGCCCACCCAAGCAGCTTGTGCTTGAGTACCTGCTTTCTTGGCCGAAGAAGTCAAAGCAACCCTCTCCTGAGCCGTTCTATCAGGCCTCGGGCTGTCCTGAATATCCTCCGCCTGGGCTGGTCCTCCCGGAGACTGAGCATGGCTGGGTCCTTTTGTCACTCAGGCCTCAGCTCAGATGTCACCTCCTTAAGGAGGCCTTCACTGCCCATCTAGCTAAAGCAACTTTCTTCCTCCCAGCCAGCATCATGTAGCCCATTCTGTTTTCTTCTCATATAACTTATTCTATTTTCTTTTCAGCTCTTTCACCATCTCATATCACTTGTTCACTTATCACTCATTGTTCATTCATGTATTTGTTTACATGTGTACTGTCCAGTTCCATCCCCTCCTACCCAAAATAAACGTGTAAAATAAGTAAGCTCCGTGACAGCAGGGACACTGTCATGTCCCCAGCACTTAGAATCGTTTTACAGATTTATAACTTATGGTTTAAACATTCTGGTAAAAATTCTAATAACAGGGAAATAGACTGTTTCAAGTCTCATAAAGTGAAACCTAAAATATGGCAAATATCACACTAATTTAGAAACTTGATGAACCACATATCAAAGCATGTATAGTGATGTGGTTAGCTCCCTAATATCCATTCCACCCCAGTTCCCAGAGGAAGCCCACTTAGAATAGACCACACATCGAACACAGGACTGGGGCCTGGGCAGGCATAAGCCAGTATGGGCCGATGAGACACAAGGAACTAACAAGGCCGACGACCTACAGGGACCAGACCTGAATCTCCATGGCCCCCCACAACACTCTAGCTGAGTCAGGCAAATCCTGGTTGGACCAGGTAGCATTTCTTGGGTTTTTATGACAAAGTGTCGTTGGGCAGTAGTCCCCAGTCACCTGGGAAGCTTGTACAGGAAAAAGCCCCATTCCTAGATTCTAATTCTAATTTGTGGGATGGGAGAGGCACCTTTAGTTATTTTCCCTACAGTATTTTTATACTTTTAACTCATCAATATTTTCTGTGGCTATAAAAAGATACATATTCAACCTCTTCTTCAGTGATCTGAGTTAGAGGAATCCAAATCCATTCATTGGTTGTGCAGACGATCGGGCTGATCTGACATGGCTGGCGGGGTGGATGACACCCCGGCACCCTCACGCCTCCACATGCCTCTCTGCGAAAGCTTCTTACTCCAAGGGGAAATGTTTCCCAAAAAGGACCGATCTTCACCCAAGGACATGGACTCTCCAACTTAAAAGATTTTTAATATATTGATGAAGCAGAGCATTGAGAGGAGATGAGGAGCTCTACTGTCATTCGATTTGAAAGTGACTGCTGGTCTGGGCACAGCAGTTCCTTTCCGGCCTCAGAAATGTCCTACTAATGAAAACCAGTATGTATGAAGCATCTGCCAGGTCAGGCACCCTGCTGTCAACATTATATGCGAGCGTGCCTTCAGTCTTCCCAGAAGCTCTATGAGGTGGGTGGTGTCATCATTTCCATGTTACAGATGAGGAAGTGATAGCACCCAAAGATGACACAGCATTTCCACAGTGACACAGCTGATCAACTCAAACACCATCCTCTGAGCTGGCATGACCCCAGAGCCGGCACCCTCAGCCGCAACCCTTCCCTGCTTTTCTCTTGTGTCAGTGAGATCCTGACCCCTGCAGGAGGGCGTACCTTCCTGTCTGTCCCGCTGGTGATGATCTGGAACTCTTCGGGGTGGTAACACACGCACTGGAATAAGGTGTTGGCCAAGATCATCTGATTCCTCTTAAGTCGCCTGAAAACCAGATTCAAAAGCTGTAAGACTTGACGTTCTCTCCCCTTGAAAGCTTCTTTACTGGATTTGGTGCAAGCTTGGATTAGGGTTATTTCATTCATTCCCAACAGACTTCCTGTTACTCTGCCCACTCCACTTCAGCTTCCCCTTGCACCTGTGGGCAGTCAGAAGCTCCTGGGGTGGGGGGTCCTTTTCTAAAGACAAAGCCCAGGACTAAATGGGAAGCCTCAAGCTCCACGAAGGAAGGAGAGGCTGAGGTGTCTTCCACACCAAGTACTCGCGTCTGGAAGTGGCGGGCTCTACAAGCTGAGGGGCAAGGTGTAGGGAAGGGCTTTAAAAACTGGGTATCATCGGGCCTTACCTAGAGGGATTTGGATTCAGTAGGCTGGGACAAAACCCACAGATCTGCATTTGTAATCAGCATCCCAGTTGATTCTAAGGTGCACAATAGTTTGAGAACCACTGCTTTTGGTACTGAACCAAAAACACGTCTATTATCTCCTCCTTCCACAGACGAGGTGGCGGGGTGACCCTCTCGCAGGCCTGGCTCTGCTGACCGAAATGGACTCTCGGCACAGTCTCGTCTCGTTATGGACATTTTCAAACATGGTATCTGAACCGAACATTTTAAAAGATGTTGGTACAAATTAACCAAATATTCCAGCTAGAGAGCAAGGAGCCTTAAGGTTTGGACATGGTCACAAACCATCTGTGGACTCGAGCGCGGACGTGCCCTCCTAGGGAGGTACTTCCTCAGTGGGACGTGCAGGTGGAGGCTAACACCTCCCGCACGTGTGGTCCTTGCACCGGCACCGGGGGCACCATTTGGGAGTTTTATCAAATGCAAGATCTCAGCCCCGCTGGTGTGGCTCAGTGGACTGAGTGTCAGTCCCGTGGACTGAGAGGTCCTGGTTCGATTCTCAGTCAGGGCACATGCCCGGGTTTCAGGCTCGATCCCCAGGAGGGGGTGTGCAAGAGGCAGCCGATTGATGTTTCTATCTCTCTCTCTTTTCCTCTCTCTCTGAAAAATCAATAAAAACATATTTTTTAAAAATCTTAATAAAAAAAAAATTTTAAAAAAGCAAGATCTCAGATGCCACTCTAGACCCGGTGAATCAAAATAAACATTTTAACAAGATCCCCAGGTGATCTGTGTGCGCATCATAGTTAGAGACACACAGAACCCAAAGACAGAGGTGTGCTCTGGGTTTTGTTTTTTAATGCATTAAATAAAAAGTATTCTGCCTTTGCCTTTATTTCCCATCCTCTTCTCTCCAATCAAGAAAATTTCATATTTGTCTGACTGGTGTGGCTCAGTTGGTTGAGCATCATCCCATGCACCAGGAGGTCGCTGGTTCAATTCCCCAGCAGGGCACATGCCCAGGTTTCAGGATCTCCAGTAAGGGGTGTGCAGGAGGCTTATCGATGTTTTGTTTTGTTTTCTTTATTGATCTTAGAGAGGAAGGGAAAGGGAGAGAGAGAGAGAGAATGTCGATGAGAGAGAACATCGATTGGCTGCCTCCTGCATGCCCTGCGCTGGGAACCCGGCCCACAACCTGGGCATGTGTCCTGACCGGGAATTGAACCAGCAGCCTCTTGGTGCATGGATCAACACTCAACTACTGAGCCACACCGGCCGGGCTCATTGATATTTTTATCTCTCCTTCTCCCTTCCTTTCTCTGAAATCAATAAAAACATTTTTTTAAAAGAAAATTTTATATTATTTTGTTATACCTCTATATATCTTTTCCTCCTACCTCTGCACTTGTCTCTCTGATGCAGTTATCTCAGTAGTGGTAGAGAGGTGCTGAATGGGAGGAGAGATTGATGGAATAGGGTCTAATTCTCACAATAAACACACAGAAAGAATGCTTATAGTAAAAAAAAAAAAAATCATTGGAAATACTTCTAATTAGTCCAACACAAACTCTGACATGCTTTGGTCTAGTTGGCTTGGAGTCACACACTCTACAGAGATAGTGATATGCTTACAGTATGAGGAGGCCCTAATAATGAGACCCACTGAGGGAGGACAATTTCTCCAGTCCCCTACTCCCACCCCAAGGCTGGCTCATTCTGGGCCTGACTGGACTGCGTGGAAAGGCCAGAGGAGCTGCCTGCGTCACTTAAGTTATTTCCCTTCTCCCTTTGGGGGAAATACTTAAAAGTTAAATCAGTGTAAATTAAGTTGTGCTTCACTGTATGTATCCGGAAAGCAACTTCCCTCTCTGTCCAGAAACTTCTAATACCGCGCTCTTCCCGAAAACTATACCCTTTCTACCAGCATCCATGGATAGCCATGGAGATGAATGGCTTCCGGTGAACATCACTTTACAGTTGCCTTAAATGAGATTTCTATGCTTCATTTGAATCTTCTTTCAAGTTCAATAAAATGATCGCATTGTTGGGTTTGTAGGCGCCCCTTCGTCCTCCCCGTCACAGGTACCTACACAAGGTCCCAGATGATGCAAGTGCCGTCCGTGCTGGCTGTGACACATCCGTCATTGTTCTTCTTCACCCGAATGCAGGACACGGAGGACTGGTGCTCCTTCAGGGCCTCCTCCAGCTTCTGGGTCTGGCAGCCTACCTGCCAGACCCTCACCTGGAAGTCACAGAGCACAGCCTCTCAGTACACACTTGGGGCTTTTGAAGGAATAAAAAAATTCCAAAGAGCATCTCCACTTCTGCCTGTCTTCCTCTACCCTCCGTGGAGTGGGGTGAGAATGCTAAGCGTAGGCCAAAAATATTCTTCCAGGGAGCCAGGAAAATGCTCCTAATGCTTCCGCACCTGCTTCCACGTTCAGGGCTGAGAAATGTATTCGATTGCCGCTACTAAAACCGACCGTGCGAGGGCTGCTGCTAACCCACGTGAAAGACTATGTCCCTGCATCTCTTCGGAGCACTGCTCTCAAGTTTCTGGTGCCATCAGGAAATCTCTTGGGTACTCAGAGCCATGTTTAAACTTTCACATCAGTGGCTCAATTTGAAAATACAGATGTAGTGGTAAGGGTCTACGCAATATACCTTATCAAAACTGACTTAAGACATGGAAATGAGAAATAAATAACAACATTAAAGGAAAAGAACAATGGGTCTCAACCCATCAAGACCAATACCCACTTTTTATTAAAAAATTTTTTTTAGCCCTGGCTCGTTTGGCTCAGTGATTAGAGCATTGGCCCACAGACCGAAGGGTTGCAGGTTCAATCCCCAGCCATCACTGGGGCACTGTGAAGACAACCAATCGATGTGTCTCTCTCACAATGATCTCTCTCTCCCTCTCTCTGTCTCTCTTCCTCTCTCCCTCTCTCTGTCTCTCTCTCTCTCTCTTCCACTCTATCTAAAAATCAATGGAAAATATCCTCAGGTGAGGATTAACAACAACAACAAAAAAGTCTATAACACCCCTTTATCCTAAAGTGAAATTCACCTACACACAAAATCTCAAAACAATCAATATGATGTTCTAACTGTAATAAAAAAGGAAAGTTACTCAGTTATTATTGTATGGCCTGTAATGGATAGATGCTCTGTCGCAACTATACAAGAATACATAATGTAGTCAGATGCTTATGTCTTCCTATAATGACTATGGTAGACCTAACAAAAGTAAGAAGAGCAGAAACTATTTTGTGTAAGTGATGTAAGACAATGAAAGAACAGTAGTCTAGGTGAACACTAGACTAAAAACTATTATTAAGTGCAGCCGGTGTGGCTCAGTGGTTGAGTATCGACCCATGCACCAAGAGGTTGCCGGTTCAATTCCCAGTCAGGGCACATGCCCAGGTTGTGGGCCAGGTTCCCAGTGCAGGGCATGAAAGAGGTGGCCAATTGATGTTCTCTCTCATCGACATTCTCTTTCTGTCTCCCTATCCCTTCTTCTCTCTCTAAAACCAATAAAAAAAGAAAAAAAAAATAACTTGTATTAGGATAAGTAGTTCATTTATGCCTGATAAGAGGAAAAACATTTTACAACATGTTCTTAGTAAAGAAAATTAGGAAGCATGAAGTATCCAAAACAAGCTGGGTCATATTCTCTTCTATGGTGTCCACGTACTGTCCCTGTGTTAGGATGTGGGATGGGATAATGACTTTTGGCAAGGAAAACAGATCTCCAATCTTGAAATCCCACTACATGCGGAAGCATTCATTTGGTCTTTTCTACCCAGTATAGTGTGGGCCCTGGTCCAACGGCCCCAGGACTAGAACTTTGGAGGTACCGGGCATTAGCTCTTGAGTTGTGGGATTGCAGGGGTGGTTTGGGTATGCCTCGGGCATACCCAACTCCGGCAATGGCCATTTGCCAATGAAAATGAAGTGCTTGCATATTTTAGCAACGAGTGCATTCACACCAGTGCACACCTGCTGGCCAGCAGCCCCGGTCTGTAGTATTTACCAGGACCTTGAAGACTGCACTTTTGGAAGGGAAGTTCTGAAATAGCTGTGGGGAATGGCAGGAAAAGCTGACATGGTCAGAAGATTGCTGAGCAGGGCCAAGGGCAATGACTGTAATGTGTCATTTCCTCCTGCAGCTCCCATCAGCTCAGGTGCAGGAACCTCGAATGCAGACAGACCGTCTGGTCCAAGCCAAGTCTGAGCATCCGCAAGGCAGATGCCGCCAAAGGCTGAGAGTAAAGCCAGGATGCTGAGAGTGTCAGCAACAGCGCGGGAGGGGAGTAAACCACGAGGGCTGTGACAGGCAGAGACGGGGATTGTCTAGGGCTCCAGGGCTCCATGTGTCTATAGCGCACCTGAGACGTAGCTGGTCCAGGAGGAGGTGTGCTCTGAATGTAAAAAGCACACCAGATTTTGAAGATTTAATACAAATAAAGAGTGTAAAATAACCTCGGTAGGAGTCCTAGTATCTTCACGTCTCCACAGGAAGCTGAAGCACAGAGGGGGTAAAGAACGCACCCCAGACCTCAGAGCTGGGAAGTGTTGGAAGTGAAATCGGAGCCCAGGGAGTGTGACTCCAGAACCCAGACACTGAGCCACACATGGGCTCGGCCAGAACTCTGCTAAGGGCGACATCAGCGTGCTGTGTCTGCCTCCTCCCTGATGTCCTTCCTATGGTGGCACAGAGAAAAGAAGGGTGAAGAAAATGTCCTGTGGCAAGGAAGGGAAGGCTGTGAGATGGGAAAACGGCTGGGAAGTGAGGGAGGGAGGAGGCTAAGATAAACATCTGAGTGAAAGATGCTGTAGGATCCTTGACGTGATGGAAGGAAAAGGTCAAATGTAATAATTTCGGACTAATGGTCAAAACATCCCAGGAGTTTAAAGAATTGATTCTAAAAATAGCATCTCTTTAGAAGATACAATAAAGACAATGTATATAACTATGGTCTCTGAAGGGAAACAACAAGTGTGTACTCCAAAACTCGGGCAAAACCAACTTGGACTCACAGCTCCGTCCACACAGAGATGCTTTCATGTCTGTATCTCAAATGTCCTTTCTGTGAACAAATGTATCTGTGTGTGGATTTATATTATTTGAATTTTAACTTAAAGTGTATTTTAGGCCCTAGCCGGTTTGCTCCGTGGTTAGAGTGTTGGCCTGCGGTCCAGAGAGACCTGTGTTTGGTTCCCGCTAAGGGCACGTACCTTGGTTGCAGTTTGTCCCTGGCCCTGGTTGGGTCATGTGGGAGGCAACCACTCGATGTGTCCCTTTCACGTCAATGTTTCTCTCTCTCTCTCTTTCTCTTCCTCTCTCTCTCTCCCACTCTATCTGAACAAAAAATAGAAAAATTTCCTCAGGTAAGAATAAAAAGAAAAAAAGAGGAAAAAAATGTATTTTAGGGTTTCATCAAAACCTTAATTTGGTCCTTCTTGACTCCTAGAATAGGTTTTTTAAAAATCAAATAAGCAACCTCTTATGAGAAAGTTGCACTAAATTGAGGGCTATTTTTTAAAAGATTCTACCTTGCCCGGCCGTTGTGGCTCAGTGGCTGGGTGTTGACCCAGGCACCAAGAGGTCACTGGTTCGATTCCCGGTCAGGGCACATGCCCAGGTTGTGGGCCCAATCCCCAGTGGGGGGCATGCAGGAGGAGGCCAATCGAGGTTCTCTCTCATTGATGTTTCTATCTCTCTCTCCCTCTCCCTTCCTCTTTCTAAATGCAATAAAAAAAAATTGAAAACAAGATTCTACCTCCCCTTCCCCACCGCCGCTGATGACCCTTTTGCAGTCACTGGTAGTCGCGATGGCTGTCACGCCGATCCTGTGGGCATTGTTAATGACGTACATCAACCGGCCTGTCTCTGGAGCGAAGGCTCGGATTTTTCCGTCATCCCATGCTGGCATGAAAGCAAAACAAAAGGCAGGCGAGGTCAGTATACAGACTCTCTGCGGACTGTTGCTCTGCTAAATCACATGGGAAAGTCAGGACTGGGGAGCAGGGGAGGTGATGGAGGAAAGAGGCCAGTCCCCCACCAACTGCCAGGAACCATATCACCCTTTCCCCTGACTCCCCAAACTGGTCACACCCCGCTGAGGGAAATGAGTGGCTCACCTTATTGAAACTGCCTCCACTGACACCCCATTCCAGGGGAGAGAAGTTGGAATGGCAGGAAAGAGGGAGACAAGCTCCCACTCTCCCATGAGCTGCAAAACCTGTACGTTCAACTAGCTATTGGATACAGCACCTGAGGTACGTAATTTAACATCTCCAAATAAATGTGGGCTTCCCGCCCCTCCTCCTGATGTTTAAACCTGATGTTCTTTTTTTTTTTCTTTACTGATTTTAGAGAGAGAGGAAGGGTGAGGGAGAGAGAGAGATAGAAACACTGATAAGTGAGAACATTGATTGGTCACCTCCTGCATGTCCCCTACTGGAGATTGGACCCACAGCCTGGGCATGTGCGCTGACCGGGAATTGAACCGGTGACCTCTTGGTGCATAGGTTGATGCACAACCACTGAGCCACAGCACACTGGCTGGGCTAAACCTGATGTTCTTTCCCCCACTACTCTCTTCCCCATTTCAATGAAAGTTGCCTCTATCTATCCAGTTGCTCACATCAAGAACTTCACAGTCATTCTTTTTTTTTAAATCCTCACCCCAAGGACATGCTTAGAGAGAAGGGGCAGGGGGCGGGGGGAGAGAAAGAAATATCAATTAGTTGCTTTCCTTTCGTGCCCCGACAGGGGATTGAACCCACAACCTAGGTATGTGCCCTGACCGGGAATCAAACCTGTGTGTGATCTTTCAGTGCATAGAAGGTCACTCAACCAACTGAGCCATCCAGCGAGGCCAGCACTTCAGAGTCATTCTTGATTCCTCTCTATTCCATCCACGCAACCCAACCCAACATCTAACGCATCAGCAAGTTCCATCAACTCCACAGTTTTAAAACATCCTGAAGCCCTGGCCAGTTTGGCTCAGTGGTTAGAGTGTCAGCCTGTGAACCAATGAGTCATGGGTTCGATTCCGGTCAAGGGCACATACCTTGGTTGCAGTTTGTCCCCTACCCTGGTCAGGTTGTACAAGAGGCAATTAGTCGGTGTGTCTCTATCACATCGATGTTTCTCTTTCTCTCTCTCTCTCTCTCTCTCTCTCTCTTCCTCCCTCCCTCCCTCCCTCCCTCCCTCCCACACTATCTGATGATAAATGTAAAAATATCCTCAGGTGAGGATTAAAAAAATTAAATTAAATTAAAATAATAATAACAATAATAATAAACATCCTGAATATGAACACTTTTTAACTCATCCACTGGTACTACACTCACCCAAGCCACCAGCAACTCTCTCCTGGATTATTACAACAGCTTCTACTCCGGCCTTAGACTCTTGCTCCCCTACAATCAATCATCTATACAGGGGTCAGGGTGAATCTCTTAAAACCATGATCAAGAACTCCTTGATCAAGAACTTCCCGAAGCCTCAACCTTCTCTACTACCACTCTCCCTGAACACTGACCCCAACCTTCCCCACTAAGATCCAGACACACAGGTCATATTCCTAGTCCTCAAATACACCAAGCTATTTCCCACCTCAGGGCCTTTGTACTTGCTGTCCCCTCTGCCTGGAATGTTCTTCCCCCACATGTTCACAAGGCTGGCTCCTTCTCATTATCTTTAGTGTCACCTCTTGACTTTAGCAATTTTACAGAGGATGCTCAAGGCATATCCCATTTCATCAAAGATTTGAAGAAGTGAGGGGGTGAGAGAGTGAGTCATAGGCTATCTGGGAAAAGAACATTCCAGGCAGACCAAATAGCTAGACCAAAGACCCTGTGTGCAGTGTGTGTGAAGAATATGAAGAAGCGAGACTTTCTGAGGATGGCGACAGGCGGGACCGGAGGGAGGGTGAGTGTAAGAGAGAGTGAACTAGTATTAGAGAGAGTGTGAGTGGACGTGAAGGTGGATGAGATGCAGTGCAGAGATGCAGAGCAGAAGGTTCCTGTGCTGTGAACGGAGCAGCTGGCTACAGCCGTAAGCGGCTCTTCAGGGCGCTTCTCCCTGCACCTCAGGGAGGTCCCACCATTTTGGAAGATCCTGGGTCTTCCCTGGAAGGAGGCAGTGGAAGCGGCTAGAGCCCAGCAACCTGAGCCCATCGTGCCCCTGGTACTATAGGACCAGTGACCCCCTGTGTCAACACAGACCAGTGCACAGTAGTGGAGCTGCCAAGGTGCCAGTTGCGGAAGCCGCAGACGGCTGGAAGCCCTGCACCATCCCCCACAGTAGCAGCCGGATCAGAGTCAAGATATACCCCCAGCAACAGAGGCTGGGGAGCAGACATCCATCCCCAGGCAACAGAAGCACAGACCAGCAGCTGAGACCCATCCCCAAAAACTACAGCAAAGGCTGAGCAGGAGTTGAGCCCCATGGGGCAGCAGCACTCCCCAGCTGCCAGCGGCGGTCCTAGGCTCCACAGAGGCCTGTGCGACCCAGCAGCCCACAAGATAGGCATAGAGCCGGGTCTCCAAAAGGACTGTGCGATCCAGTGCCCGCGGGACCTGCGGGGTGCTGGGACACCAGAGAGGCCTGTGCAACCCAGATACCCACAAGATAGGTGTGGAGTCGGGTCTCTAAAGGGACTGTGTGATCCAGCTGCCCACAGTATGGGCAGGGAGCGTGGCTCCAACAGGGCCTGAGCTATACAGCTACAGGTGTCACCAGCAACCAGCTGGGAACACAGCTCCAGAGGGGCACACGTGATCCAGCAATAGCACCTACCAGGACACACCAAAACCAGCCCCCAGTAGTCAATCCTCCAGGATCCACAGCAGGCACGAGGCGATATGCAACAAAACAGTCTGGGAGGCACAGTAGCCTTATTTGATATACAGTGAGCTGCCTACACATCCAAATATCCCTCAGCAGGTCTAGAGCTAAAAGGGGGAGACAAAGAAACAACACACAAAGGAAAGAAAAAGAGGAATCACCAGAAAAGGAACTACAGGAAATGGAAGACAGCAACTTGTCAGATAAAGAATTCAAAGCAATGATTATAAGGGTGTTCAAACAATTTGGTGAGAACTACAAGCAACTTAATAAGAATTATGAAGAGCCCTGGCCAGTTTGGCTCAGCGGTTAGAGCGTCGGCCTGCGGTCCGGAGAGACCCGGGTTCGGTTCCCGCTAAGGGCACGTACTTCGGTTGCAGTTTGTCCCCGGCCCTGGTTGGTCGTGCAGGTGGCAGCCACTCGATGTGTCCCTTCACGTCGATGTTTCTCTCTCTCTCTCTCCCTTCCTCTTTCTCCCTCCCACTCTATCTGTACAAAAAATGGAAAAATATCCACGGGTGAGGATAAAAAAAAAAGAATTATGAAGAGCTCACTGGGAACTACTTCAGCTTAAAAAAAGAGGTAGAAGCCATGCATAAAAATCAAGAGGAAATAAAGAATGACATAGTGGTCATGAAAAATACCTTACAAGGGTTCAATAGTAGATTAGAAGAAGCTGAAGACCGAATCAGCAACTTAGAAGACAAAGTAGAGAAAAACACTCAAATAGAGCAGGAAATGGAAAAAAAAATTTAAAGCAGGAGGAAAATTTAAGGGACTTGTGGGACAATACAAAACGTAACAACAGCCCTGGCTGGTTTGGCTCAGTGGTTAGAGTGTTGGCCTGCGGTCCAGAGAGAACCGGGTTCAGTTCCCACTAGGGGAACATACCTCGGTTGCAGTTTGTCCCCGGTCCTGAATGGGTCCTGTGGGTGGCAACCACTCGATGTGACCTTTTCATGTCGATGTTTTTCTCTCTCTCTCTCCCTCCCACTCTATCTGAACAAAAAATGGAAAAATATCCTCAGGTGAGGATAAAAAACAACAACAACATAACAACATTCGCATTATAGGAATACCGGAAGGAGAAGAATCAGAGAAAGGAATAGAGAACCATTTGAAGAAATAATGACAGAAAACTTCCCTAAACTGGTGATGGAAAAAGTCACACAAGTCCAGGAAACACAGAGTCCCAAGCAAGATGAACCCCAAAAGACCCATAGCTAGACACATCATAATAAAAATGGCAAACATTAAAGACAAAGAAAGAATCTTAAAGGAAGCAAGAGAGAGACATAAAGTTACCTACAAGGAAGCTCCCATTAGACTGTCAGCTGATTTCTCAATAGAAACGATGCAGGCCAGAAGGGAGTGGCATGAAGTGTACAAAGTAATGCAAAGCAAGGGTCTGAATCCCAAACTACTCTATCCAGCAAGGCTATCATTCAAAATTGAAGGAGAAATAAAGAGCTTTATGGATTTAAAAAAAAAAAAAAAGCTACAGCAATTTACCACCACCAAACCAGCACCGTAAGAAATGCTGATGGGACTGTTGCAAGGAGAAGAAGAAACAGAGGGGGGTGGGGGGGGGGGGGACACAGGCATAAAATTAAAATGGCAACTAATAACTATCTATCAATAATTACCTTAAATGTAAATGGTTTAAATGCTCCAATCAAAAAACATAGGGTAGCTGATTGGATAAGAAAACACGACCCATATATATGCTGTCTACAAGAGACCCACCTCACAACAAAAGAGTCACACAAGATGAAAGTGAAAGGACAGAAAAAAATTTTCCAAGCAAATGAAGATGGAAAAACAGCTGAAGTAGCAATACTCATATCTGACAATATAGACTTCAAAACAAGGGCCATAAAAAGAGACAGAGAGAAGGTCACTGCATAATATTAAAAGGATCAATCCAACAAGAGGATATAACCCTGGTAAACATATATGCACCAAATATGGGAACACCAAAATATATTTTAAAACTTCTGGAAGACTTCAAGGGAGAGATCAGTAGCAAAATGATCATAGTGGGTGACTTTAATACGCCACTGACACCA